TGTTTAGTTTTTTTTTTTCTTCTGGTTTATTTATTTTTATTTTCCAGTTGCTGCATTCTTTGTTCGTAGACCTACCGACTTTTAATGCTTATGCTGAGGGTCTTATAGTGACATATATCATAAAAAAGGACAATTCAGGCCTGGACGATGAGCTGGGTCAATTCCGTTTGTCATAGGTCGAGGGAGTTTATATCCCATTTTCATAAGTTCCTTTCAAATCGATTTTATGACCTGGTTTCATAGACAAGGCTCGAAGATTATAAGAGATAGATATAACAAGTTCCAGACTTTATTGCCTTTCGAATACCTGAGGGATAATGGGAAAATTTTCAATTGTAGAAACTCATCGATAGTTCTCCAAACACTAAATACATCGATGTTATCGATAGTCGCATCGATTGTTTTCCAACACTGCTTAGAACGTTTGCAATGGAAGACTCTCGCTAGGCCTAGGGTATCTATCAGTCGAGCAATGCTTAGCAAAAAACAGCTTTAGCCAATTTTCGTGCGAGAATATTTAAATTTAATCAAATGTCTGTAAAAATGTTTACCATGCCTTTTATAACACAACAACAGCACGCACATGAGTGTATGTGGGTGTATGGGTGTGTATATGTGTGTGTGTGTGTGCAAGTGTGTGTGTGTGTGTGGCACAACCTGTTTTTGGTACGTTGACTGGGTAATTTGTTGGCCGCGCACAGTTCAGGACAACAGCCAATTTTATTTTATTTTTTATATAGTTTTTTTTTTTTGGCATTTTCATGCGAACCCCTCCCCCCCCCCCCCCCCCCCCCCCCCCGGCCCGCCCACATTTCCGGCTGCGTGCGCTGGTACAGTTTTCGCATACATGTATATATATATATATACATATGTGTGTGTGTGTGTGTGAAAGAAGAAGAGAACTCCGTATTTACCTAGGATAGCCTGCGAGTCGCGTGTTTGCGCCCGGGGTGTCAACCAATTTCGCGTGTCTCTTGCCGCCCCCCTCTGCCCCCCTGCTCCACTCGCTGTTTTGTTAGCCAAGTTGTTATTGTTGGCGCTGTTGTACATGAATATATATATATATGTGTATATGGAGATATGTTTATATATATTTTCACATGGCCATTTCATTTCATTTCAATTCATTTCATTTATTTATGCAATATTTTATGTGCTCATTCATTCAGTTCGTTTTTTTTTTCTCCTATCTATTCTATTAATTTGTTGTCACTCGGTTCCGTTTCGCTCTGTTGCGTACATATATATAAATATATATATATATATATATAGACAAGTTGTGCCGTAAACCTCATTCATCTTAATTTGTTTTGCGTTACGTTTTTGCTCCTTTTTTTATGATGATTTTGTTTTTTTTTTTTGGTTCTTGGCGAATGTTTTTCCTTGCTTTTGTCAAGGATTGTACAGAAGAATCGCATAAATCAATTGTCTATATTATAATGCAAATCAATTAAGGATATTACAAACACAACAAAAACAACAACAACACACGCTGTAAATAAACCCTCCTACCTCCATCTCTTGTACAGATAAAAAATATATTTATTGTGTTTGTTTGTTTGTTGATAAACGATTTCTTTTTTCGTTTTGATTTGATTTTGAATAATTCATAATTATTTGGAGAACTGTTGTTTGTTGTCTTTCTTTTAATTTGAATTAATTTAGTTGATTTTTTTATGAATAATAACTCTTGGAAAATAACTCTTTGTACATGATTATAATTGTTAATGTTTTATATTAATCCACTGCTAACCAAAAAAAAAAAAAAAAAAGAAATCATCATCGCCTCAATTTTTGTACAGTTCTTCAAACGAGCGAGTGTAGCTTCTTCTTTTGATTATATATTGTCCTATGTTTCGGCACAGATCGAAGCTGGAATATGATTTCCGAAATGGGTTCCAATGCATGTTTAAATCCATATAGCATCTGTTTATCCGATTCGATCGAAACGAGCTCAATGTGCTCGAATCTAATCTGTATATATAAATTGAACACTTGGCCCGGACAATGCCGGGTAATTTCTGCTAGTTGTAAATATTTCATTGTTACATGCTATGTGTGTGTGTATGTGTGTGTGCGTGCGTGTGTGCCGCTTTTGGAAATCATACGAATTATGCGAGAACTCGGATTTATTCATCATTCAAATCCCATTTTTATACGTTTGTCCGTTTCCCAGTTCCCGAACAAATTTCCCCGAGTTAACATATTCATTTGTCGCTTAAAGAACTTTTGCATTTTATTCGTTTTTCGAAAAACACATTTTGTATAATAATCAATAGCAAATACATTCCCACATTCCACATTTAATTTCAGTTATTCTCTGTCACACTTTGTTTTGTCGTAAAAGAAAAAAAAAAAGGATTTCAGCTAAATTTTGTAAAAAGAAAAAAAAATACAAACCAAAAACAATTATTTACTCGTGCTGTGCGCTTTTTGGCACATGCCAAAGAAAAATTGTAAAGAAAAAAAAAATAGCAAAAAAAAAAAAACGTATGAAAACACAAAATAGTAGCAACTTATATATTTATGTATATATATTTTGCATACATATTGTACATGATGATAAAAAATATGTTGGGATGGGCTGCCCGGTGACCGCTAGTATAATTGTCTCATTTATCAATTACTTGTTGTACTTTCTTCTTACTCTACATTCTAACCTAACCTAAAAACCCTACTACTATTTAACTGCTTACCCTACTACTATTTGTACCACTTCTACTACTACTACTACTACTACTCTTACTACTACTTCTAATACTATTCGCTCTATGAGTTCACACTTTTCCTCTCCACATCCCCCACCTCATCCGTGTTGTTGTTTCCCTTGTTTTCTTTTTTTCGAACATATGTGTGTGTCCGTGTTTGTACCTTTTAGTTAGTTGTTACTGTCTACTACGTTTTTTTTTGTTCTTTCTTTTAGTTACTTTTGTTTTTTGCGTTTTGTTAATTTGTACATGTTTACTAAATGTGTGTGTTATTTAATTAATGTAATTTTAACATGAAACTCAACAATTTCTGCTCTCGGTTCGGTTCTATCATAATTTATATTTGTACATTTCCGTACGAAACTCCTAAACTAGATGTGTGTCATTTTTCATTCCGTTCGTTCTAAGTGTTGTTTGTGCGTGTGTGTTCGTTTGTTGTACAATATTATCGTATTATAGTCCAGCTATAAATATAACACACACATTACATTTAACCATTTACATACATACATATGTGTGTGTGCGTGTGTGTGCAAAAGGTATTAAAACCCAAACAACTTACATACAAAAATTATTATACATAGTTTATTTTTAATGTCCTGTGCTGTCGTATTTTTGCCTTGTCATGATATACCAAGCTTCTTCGTAGTAGTTGCCGCCAAACCAACACTGATAAGCATAAACCCACACACACACACACACACGCACACGAACGCCACGCCCCAACAGCGCCTTGTTATCACGTTATGCTTTTCATCAAGTCTAGTTGCTACTTAATTACAATCATTACTCAAAGAGGCCACACACACACACACAGGTTCTCTACAGACAAAAACTCTACACACCTTCCCAACACTCACACACACACACACACACACATACACACAGACACAGCCAGCTACTGTACACTTGCCCAGCATTTGGCTTATACAACTCTGTACATAATTTTTGGTTTGAATTTTGTTTCAGCGTTTTTCGTGTATTTTCCAACACTATACTGTGTGTGCTTGTTTTCATTTAGCTTAGTTGATATTGAAAAAAGCGCTACCGAATTGTTTGTGTTGTGCCTTTTAGCTGTAAACTCTTTTGTACTACATATATTCAATATGCCTGTCTGTGTTGGTTTCCTAACCATATCTAGATATGTATATATATATATTACTATAAAGCTAACGGATTAAGTTACGATGAAAAAAATCAAAAAAAAAAAAAAGAGAGGACCCTTTACCAAAAATCGAATCCAACAAACTGCGAAAACTACATTTGCCAAAACTGCAAATCAAACTAATCTTTTTGTATGATTTCTTAGCATATACGAGTTTTACATTTAATTAATCTAATTAATTACTTATTTATTTTTATTTATATATGTTATGCTTGCCCTAGCAAACAGAAATACCAAAAAAATACCAAAAAAAAATTATTGTTAAACAAAAGTTATCCTTTGCCTTGTACTCCCGACTTTCTTCGGTTCGGTGTGTGTCTATCAAGAGACCATGTGTTCTTTTTTTTCTTTCTTCTCTTCATTTTTTTTTAATAATTAAAACTAACTTTTTTTTTAGTTTTTTTTTTTAATACACAAAGCTCAGTAATGCAAAAAGTCTTCTGCATTGTCTTGCCAAAAAAAAATACAAAAAATTTCTCTTGTCTTTTTGATTTGAGTTTGCGCCTCATTTAATTTTTTTTTATTTAATTTTTGAACACACATTTCAACAGAAATTGTTGTTGTTTCTGCTCATTGTGTTGCCGCACTCGAAGCTGACTTTCTCCGAAGAATTCTCCCGCGATGCGACATATTTTTTTTCTTTTTTTTTTTTTTTTTTTTTTTTTTTTTTTTTTTTTTTTTTTTGCTTTTGCTGCTTTTCAAGCATCATTTTGCGCAATTTTCTCAGCAAGCGGCAAGAGGCCACTTAATTAAAAGAAATATCTGTTTCAATTTAAATGGCATTCTTGACTTTGAGATCGGGGAGCAGCTTCCAGTGCGACGCACAGAAAACGACTTTGTAGAATTGTGTTTTTTTATGTTACTCCTTTAAAAACAGAAAAACAAAAACAAAAGCTCAACTAAATGTGTTGTTTTCTATCTATCTAACTATCTGATAATCTATTTAAACTAATCTATCTAACTATATTTTTGCTATTCTACTCGATCCAATTCCCATTTCCCATTTCGCCTTATTTCCGCCTTTCTCTCTCTGTGTGTGCGTTTTCTTTGTCTGCGACAAAACTGTTTTTAGCGATTTGCATTAATTGTATTTCTATGTGTGCTTTTCAAATAATCATGTCCCCCAGACTTTTGCAAGGGCCGTGAGACTTTACAGAATCTCTGCGATCAAATACCGGGCGATGCTCTGCTCTATTCCCTCTTCCGCGAGAGCGCCGAGCCGGTCAAGTGCCCGCTAAAGGGTGAGTTCCACAAACCCCAACCCCCATATCTCAATTATTTAATTAATCATCCGCTTCCCCGCAGGTCCCTTCATATTCACGTACAATCGCGGCCACGGCGAGTGCAAGTCGCCCGTCTCGAACATCGAGAGCTGCACCGAGGAGAGCCGCCTGCTTCTGAGTTTTCAGGCCTGTCCCGATGTCCAGGGCACCGAGAGCACGGGTAAGTCCACATCCATGATTCAGGTCTCTGAAAGGTCTCTCTTGAGCATAAAAGCGATGTTTCTGAGAAATCAAAAAGATACAGGAAAGCATATTTAGGCAAGCTACAGTAGGCCCTCGTTGAGCTTGATGTAGTGTTGGAAAACGCACACTATAGGGTTCTTTTATTTCAATCAATTAAATTTCCTTTCACCAAAAATTCAAGTTTTAATTGAAGATCTCCTGGCAAAAAGACAGATCTTGCTCAACATCTGTTGAGATGTTTCTGAGAAATCAAAAATGATACGGGAAAGCATATTTAAGCAAGCTACAGTAGGCGCTCGTTGAATGCGACACTTTAAAAGCGCGCCTCTAGAGTTCTTTCATTTCATGTAATTTAGTTTCCATTCATCAAAGATTAAATACCCTTACGGCTTGTTTTCATTTAAAAACAGTACTCTCAAATATCCCATATGGATAATAGGTCATAATTTGCCACCTCCACCAATTCGTTTAAAAACTCAAACGATTTTCGCAAGGTTTGACCCTTTCTTCATGGTTTGGCCTCTAGATCAATTCATTATATAATTAAAAGCTTTAAAGAAATGAGAATTGATTTTCTACGCACGCACGGGCAAGGCCGGGTTACACCCGGTAGTATACGATATAGAGGGTCGATCCGACTGCTTACGACATATATAAGTATATAAGCTTGGAATAGGCAAACAAATCCATCCACAGTTAAGCGCGGATGGTTTTGTAATTGTGAGTAGCCCTTCACAAGGAAAACTCAGGTCTGCATTTTACTCAAATGTTTTTGTTTTGTTTATCGAGGCTTGCTTCAGAGAAGGATTTACTTTCCTTTCTGTTCAGTTATTGATTCATTTTACGTGTCTAATTCATATTCCAAAAATAGTTATTCATGCTGTGAACTGTCCAAAAATTGATTTGCAGACGTGTTTCCTAAAAATACATCTGCAGGACGTTTGAAAATGTTGAAATTCTGATTTGAAGTTCTTATTAATTGCAAGAGTTCTTGCTGTCATTGCTGCCTGCTAATAGAAATGTACAAAATGTACACTCCATTGTTCGTCAGCACATTTTCCACAGTATGCTCATATGCTCATCATTTTGCAGTTGAGGAGCTGACCTGCCTGGCGACCTGGAAGGATGGCAACTCACGCTATTTGGTGGGTCTTGTCTTGCATCATCATGCCATTTCGAATGAGGAGCGTTATCGTTGCTTTGTTTACGAGAAAATCTCCTCGCTGATGGGTAAGAAAAGCTGCTGGAAAAATGTGTGCTCTCCAACTGTCAACTTTTTTTATAACCCTTGCAGGCGGCCCCAGCATACTCAGCTCGAAGGATACCGAATATAAGCTGGCGCAATCCGGCGACGCCACTTGCAATGGCTTAGACAGCGCCGAGGTAAAAAGCAACAAATCCGAAATAAAAGCCACGCCATTAAATTCGCCTTTTTCTCTTCCCCCCCTCCGCCCCTCGTTTTCCGCAGGTTGGCTCGCGAATAATGTCGCTGCGGAAACCGCCGGCGGCTGAGCGCTGCGATTTTCCCGCCTGGTTCAAGGGTCCGCGACACTGGCATGCACTTATGGGCAATGCCGTCTACAATTATCATGCCAAGTGAGTGGGAACGGGAACAGCAAACATGCCTGAGGCATCCTTACTGACAGCCAATAAAACGTTTCCAATTTCTTTGCAGCGATGGCTCCGTGCACATTATTAAGCCCAACGGCTACATGGAGACACGTGCCCTGTGCGAGCAGATAAACAAACAGACCTCAACCGAAATGATGGCTGTGGTGCACTACACCACCAGCTGGTAAGCTAAAATAAACCGTATAAGAAATCTCGCATCAACTTGCTTTCCTCCCGTTTGCAGCCTATCCGGCTTTATGTGCATGATGTTTTACCGTCGGGACACGCACGTCATTGAGATACAAACGGGCAAGCCGGCCAATCGTCTGGAGGATGCCTGTGCACCGGATCACTTTGACTTCAACAAGATGACCTACATAACGCTGCTGGGTAAGTTTTCTGTACACACGCTCTGTGCGCTGTTTTAATACCCTGACAACGGCCTTAGTATGGGGTATAGTGGAGACGTCTCCATAAAGTAATATCCTGGTCAACAGCCTAGTCGATAAATAAGCTTCTGTCTAAAGAAGTGGCTATTTGTCTATCTATCTATCTGACTATCTGTCTGTCTGTCTATCTATCTATCTGTCTGTCTATACATATATCTATCTGTCTGTCTGTCTATCTATCTATCTATATATCTGTCTGTCTGTCTATTTATTTATCTATCTATCTATCTATCTATCTATCTATCTATCTATCTATCTATCTATCCATCTATCTATCTGTTTGTCTGTCTGTCTGTCTCTATGAAAGGACTTAAATAACATCTTCAAGTCTTGAAAGTTGCAGAAGAATCGCACTTTAAACACTGAAGTTATTTCAATATACAAATTTAATTACTTTTTGTCTCAGATAAAAAAATGTTTAATATATTTTGTTGCATATTTGTTGGCTTAGTTCTGGCTACAGGCTATCTTCTAGCTGTGCACGCATATTTGATAGTTTCTCTTCTTTATCCATTTTCCTCAGCTTGGAGGTCTGAGCTCAGAAGAAATGTTTAAAATGTTTTGCTACACATTTGCTTGCTTAGTTCCGGCTACAGGGTATCTTCTAGCTGTGCACTTATATAAAATCGATTCTCTTTTTTCGTACAGCAAGCAATCCGGAACCGCATATTTGCCCGATGGAGGGCCTGTACAATCTGCGCGGCGCAATTGGGCCGCCGTACCTGGTCACGCGCCACAAGCGCAATCACAATGGCAAATCGCATCTCGGACATGGCCATCATCATTATCATGGCGATGGCTTGGATGCCGGCTCCTTTGGTCACAAGGGGTATGTTTGAACTTTTGAGCAAGTAGCCCAATCCAATTGTGTTTTGTTTATTTGTGCGGCAGGCACAGTACACTCAGCTTTCGCAATGCCGAGCGCATGGAGCGCGGCTCCTGGCATGCCAACACGCGCGGCCTGCCCGTGCGCAGCCGACGCAATGCACTCCCAGCACAGCAGCAGCAGCAGCAGGAGCAACTCCAGCAACAACAAGCCTTGGTGCTGAGCAGCGCCAACGATACCAGCGTGGGCTTCGTGGCCACGCGCAGTCGTCGTGATGTGCCCGGCTGTGTGACCAACTACAATGCCCAGCGACAGCTTTGGGTCGGCTGCAGTGCGCCCAATGTCATCGATGTGAGTCCGCTGTGCAGCGTGGACGGCGAGGAAGGTAAGCGAGACGCACGCCCTCACAAGCAGCACAATATGCTACTACTCTAATGTTTGCCCCTTTTCTCACACACACAGAGTACTCCTGTCATGGCTCGTGGAGCGAGAACAGCACCGTCTACATTATAGCCAGGCACAAGGGCACCAAGCATGGCGTCTGCATTAGCTACAGGCCCACGGAGGGCAATGCAGCCAAGCTGGTTGTCGGCGATGCCTGCTATCGCGGCACACAAAAGCCGCCCGATCATCATCTGGTGGCCAATCTATCCGTTTTTGGTTGGTGCTCATTTATACGAATTGTAGTCTACATAAGATTGTTTCACCTGAGTGACTGATTGATTGACCGACTGACTTATTTACTTGTGGATGATAAAGCTGATTTTTGGGTTTTTGCCTGAGACTATGAGAGGCCCATGTAAACATTTCTAATCCAATGAAAATGGGGATTCAAATATGTTAGCTTCAATTTTTTCACAGGCTGTCTGAAAATTGATTTCTGAAAATATGAAGAAAAATAATGGGGTGAAAGGAGGCTATACCTTCTATAATGTATACAATAATAATTAAAACAAGTAAGAGGTTCTAGTCGGGAGCTCTCGACTAGGGGATACCCTGAACCCTCTTCTTCCAACATCAAATGCATATATATATATTCTATTTTAAAAGCTATATGTCAAGTTTTGTGACTCTAGCTCTTATTATTTACCAAAATTGCCCAAAAAACAGGATATCGATATCGATATCGATTGCTTGGAAACGGAGTAAGTTATCGATTATCGGAAACAAACTAGATCTGCGCAGGCACTAGGAGCTCCTACATCTAAAACTTCATCTGAGATCCTTGCGTTCATACATACGGACAGACGGACGGACGGACGGACAGACGGACAGACAGACAGACGGACATGGCTAGATCGACTCGGCTATTGATGCTGATCAAGAATATATATACTTTATGGGGTCGGAGATGCTTCCTTCTGCCTGTTACATACATTTGGATTTTGCACAAATACAATATACCCTTATACTCATTTTTAATGGGTTCAGGGTATAAAACAGGAAGTCCAATCAAATCTGGAAATAGATGATAAGCCTAACATTTCCAATCCAATGAAACTTCAATTATGTTAGTTTATATTAATTCATAGCCGAAAGATGGCTGATTCCAATGAAAATAGGGAATCAATTATGTTAGTTTAGAGTTTTTTATAGACGGAAGAAGACGGAATAGACTGTTATAATATATATTATATAATATATAATTTAGTTTAATCAAATCTCGAGATGTAATTTGTAAAAAAAATGGCCTGCTTAAAGCCACGTAATATATTCTAGTCCAATTATCTAATATTTTTCTCTTCTATATCTTCAGGTAAATGTGGCGAAACCGGCTCCAGCGCCAGCACAGCTCACCTGGCCAACTGGATGGTGCTGTTAGCCATGCTGATGTGTCTAACGCTGCAAAGTTGAGTTAAACGGGCGGCGTGCAACGTGTAATTTGGGAGTGCACAACAGCAACATTAACAATTTGATAAACACAAAAACCAAAAACCAAATCCCCAATATGATGAACATGTATACAAGACACACACATTTAAGACTAATTGTACATTGCATATTGCATATTGCATATTGCATATTGCATATTGTAAGGCCTAAGCGAACGTAAACAATTCAAATATCTTTTGCTGTATATAACATTTATTGTTTGTTTGTTTGTTTTTTTTTTTTAACCACCTTGTTTTGTTTAGTTCTAAGTGCTTTATTATATGAAATCAATATATTATATATATATATATCAAGAAAAAGTTAAAATTAACGAGCAAAAAAATGGTTTGCAATAAAGCCTTAGAGCAAGGCCTAGTTAAACGCGCCTTTTGCGAAATGTAGCGCTGAAATTTAAACAAAATATTTCTTTATATGTAATACAATTATCAAAAAAAAAAAAAAAATACAAAAATATAAAAAATATGCAAAAGACAAGATATAACAACTGCATATACGAATAGAAGCTGAAAGCTTAACGTTCTGTATGCTTAATAAAGTTCTATGCATTTATTTTTCTATATCATTTCCAAAATGTTTCCTACAACAAGAGTACACACAAACACGAACATACATACACACATAGATACATAAATACTAAGCAACAATTTTCTAGCAACAACGTATATGTATGTAAAAGTTTAAATTAGTTTTCAAATTGTACAAAAAACAAAAAAAAAAAAAGAAAAGGAAATGCAGAAAACGCGTACACACATATATATTTTGTTGTACAGTGCAAAATAGTTTATAATAAGCATAATTATACCAACTATATATATATATATATATGAGAATATATATGTGTATACATAATAATACAATTTTGCATAGGATCACATTGGTTTCATACATACATAATTAATACCTTGCAAAAACTAAGCATACAATACATACACATAGACATATATATATATATATATTGTATGATTCATAGCGCAGGCATAAGAAATTGTGAAGTTTCATGAACTTTGAACTTTATTAAGTAGCTGCACTTCACACACGTTCATAATCAATCAACTAATTTCTAATAAAACACACAGACACACGCAGAGAGGACAACCAATCCGAAGGACAACAATGAATCAGCAAGAAATGCTAAGAAATAATTAGAGTGTTTAAGGCAATTAAGCGGTGATATAGGTCTAGAATAAACAAACAAAACAAAATGCAACTGTATAAACAACAACATCAGCAGGCAGTCAGGCGGACAGACAGACAGACAGGAGGACAGACATTGGCGTTAAGCCTAAAGATAGTGTATCCAAAGGATTTCAGAAACTAGCATTTTCGCTCGATTACATTAGAGTTAAAAAAACAAAAAACAACAATTTTGTCCTAAAAAAGAAAAAAAAAAGAAAAAGCAAACCCCTCGCGGTTCATAACTAACAATTCCGAAGCCTCTTCAAGGCGCATGCATAAATAACTAGTCAAAATTGATGAGGCGAAAATTTCTGAAAAAAAAAATCATCCATATGTAAATAGCGAATGTTATGCGAATTGATTGACAACAAATTTCAAATTGTATTGCGGTGTATACATATGTAACTAATTGCTAGTTAGCTAAAAGTATATATATTTGTGAGCGAATGATATATAACTACATACTATATATGCATAGGCGTAACGCTGGGTGGAGCTGGCGCACACAAAGTGGGATAAGGGTTACTTTCTAGGTACTACGTATATATAAAGGTATATATAGTTATAACTGCAGCGGACATACTAAGTATATTAAAGGACAACAGATCAAGCAGCACACTCGAGCCATGGCATCCAGTCCCCCCACCCACTCACTCACTCAATGCAATAGCCAGGACGCGGGGACACTCCCAGGACAAGACAAATCAATACAAAAAAAAAGAAGGCAATATCAAAGAATGTTTATTGAGCGCAGCGTCAACAGCAAGCACACATCTTTTTGAGTGTACCTAACTCAAATAAGTATTTCAAATTTGTTGTCAGCTTTTACTAAGTAAACTAAACAATTAAAGAACAAAAAACAAAAGCGAATGCAATTTAAAGCCGTAAGAAACAAGCATGGCAAATCGTCACACAAAAGATACAGATTTTATGGCCCACAACTCTCTCTCCCTCTCTCTCTCTCTCTCTTTTTGCAATTCCATATCCCAATCAAGTTTATTTACGCTTAACTCCTTTTGTTTTGCAATTGTTAAGCTCAAACACTTTTCCCCCTATTCACAAAACGTGGTCCAATCATTTTCCCCCTCTTTGCTTTTGTACTTCATCCGTAAACGTAGCACTGCATAAACGTGTTATTCATGTTCCAAATGTATTCGATGTTTGCCCATTCTAATGCAAATTATGAATATTTTTTGTAAATAGTTAAATGCAATGCTTGAATTTTTGGTCCCAAACATTTTCCGTGCACAACTGCAATTGTGTGTGGGCGGGGCCACGCCCAAAAGCCCAGCTAGCAGGCGCGCATTTTGGCCGCGAACGGACTCCAATTTGAATGTGAACGCTAAGCATTAGATCTAAGTGATTTTTATATATATATATATATTCAAGAAGCGATTTTATAAATCATTTTAATTGTCTATTTTAAAGCAAACAAACAAAAAAAAAGATTGTAAACAAATACACAAAATTATGAACGCAATTCATTTAGTTGATGTGTGTGTGAGAAATACTTCTGCAAATTTTTGTCAATAATTCAATGTTTTCGAGTCCTATGTTTAATAAATTAATTGTTTCCGTTCTTTTAAGCAAATATAAATAAAAATACAAACTAATTACAAATATAAGAGCGCACGCGTTTTATTTACCTTTCAGCTACATTCATTAATTGCCATTCATTTCAAATACGTAAATATGTAATTTTTTTTAGCCATGTCCGTCTGTCTGTCTGTATGAACGCAAGGATCTCAGAACCTACAAGAGATAGAGACTTGACATATAGCTTCTAAAATAGAATATATATATGCATTTGATGTTTGAAGTAGAGGGTTCAGGGTATCCCCTAGTTGGGAGCTCCCGACTAGAACCTCTTACTTGATAAATATTATTTGGTCGATTTGGGTCAAAATTTAGATTTTTATTTATCTGTTGCCAATCGATAGTACTGATCCTTGAGTCAAAAATAGTATAAAATTCCAAAATCTGAGATTATTTGGCCGAGATAGTCTAAAAAAATGATCAAAAAAGGTTGATTTTACAAACGAAACGTTTTTTGGTCAACAACTCATTTAAACCCATCAATTTTTAATTTCTTTGAATGCCATATGATAGTAGGGATTCGTACGAATTCAAAAAGGTATAACATTTCAAAAACAGGATATATTTACCCGAGAGTTCAAAAAGAAAATCGTCAAAAAAGTTTGTTTTTTTTTTAACCTTATATGTGTTTATTGTATTGAATCAAAAAATAGCATACATTTTTATTAAAAAACCGTTAACTTAGGTGGTATCTCGCCAATCCTGGTTGGCTCCTCAGGCTTTATCGTGGACAAACGTCAAAGCCGTCTTCTTTGATTAAGGCTGCACCGTCACGTAGGTAGTCGGTGGGCTCTGGGGCTTCTCCTGTGTCGTGGTTGGAGGAGGTCTCTAAAGGATCTTTTCTTGACCCTTCTGACTACACACCTCTCAGCGAGGTCTCTTGTATGGGTTGGCGAATGCTACGACTCTGAGATTACTTGGCCGAGATGGTCTAAAAAAATCAGCAAAAAAGGTTGATTATACCAACGAAACGTTTTTTGGTCAACAACTTTTTGCAACCCATCAATTTTTAATTTCTTTGAATGCCATATGATAGTAGGGATCCGTACGAATTCAAAAAGGTATAATATTTTAAAATCAGATTATATTTACCCGAGATTTTCAAAAAAAATATTCAAAAAGTTTTGATATTCGACCTACCCCGGGTAAGAGCTCTCGGGTAATATCTCCGCGCGGAGCTATGTCGTTTTGAAGCGTCATATCTCCAAGCGGAGTTATGTCGTTTTGGAACGTCATATCTCCAAGCGGAGTTATGTCGTTTTGGAACGTCATATCTCCAAGCGGAGTTATGTCGTTTTGGAGCGTCATATCTTAATTTTATACAATATAATTCATTTTAAGAATCGCTTGCAAATTATTTAAATAATTTTAAACAATTTTCATTAATTATTTACATTAATGTTTTAAAACAAGACATGAAAATAGTTTGATTTACTTCTAAAACTGCTTACAAATTATGTAAAAAAAAATAATTTCAAAATAAATTTGGTTTTTAAAAACTGTTCTACAATTTCAAGCCGAAAGGCAATTCACGTTCCAGATCTGTATTTTAATAAATTTATCAGCAATTTTTTTGGAGAACAGTTTGAACCATATTTTTTTTGTAGAATTTTACAAAATCAAAAATATTTATCTTTACATTATTTATTCGAGTTTTAAAGAAATGTATTTACATAAATTCTGACCAGCTCAAATCTTTGGCTCAGACGGATAAGGTTTAGATTACATTTGATTTGATTACATTAAGCCAAGTTCCATCTGGTTCGTCAGCTCCACAGGAAATACTCGAGTCGGACTTCGAGCAGCTGGAGCATCCATGGGAAGTACGTATAAAGGCAGCTGATCCTTGAGCTCTTCCTCAGACATCAGATGGGAGTTGAAAGTATTCCAAAGTATCTCCAGGGACATCTATGGGATTTTTCCCGTTCATGGTGAATTGAATATTTTTTATCTCTTTGTTCATATATTTGGTGGGTGAGGTTTTTTTTTGGTTGGTAAATACCAAAACAGGGGATTTTTTTATGTATTTATTTTGGAACGTAAGTTCAAGATGGGTTAGAGCGAGAATTGCATCATAAAACCTCACCCGAAACTAGATGCTTCTCATAGGTCGTACGACATTTAGTTGGGAGAGAAGGGCAGAAAGAATGTCCTAAAAAATGAACATACATATACATTAACATGTATGGAATCTGTAAATGTTGAATATGTAACTGCACAATTTATATAAAAAATAAGTTAAATCAAATATGAGTATAAAACATTGGAATGTTCAACATACATATATAGATATTTATGGAAACAGTTAGTATACCAATTCTGATAGTGTAAAAAATAAACAATAACAAAAAGGTTTTTATTGCAATCAATATTTAAAGAGAAGAATTAGTGTATCGTGTAATATAATATATTATAATAATGCAATTTGTGCTTGTCACATTACAAATTACCTTTTTGGTATATTATTTAATTTGTAGGTTTAAATAGTTATAAGATGCATGTAACTTAAGGTTGACAAATACATAGTGTTATTTATTAAAAGAAATAAATAAATAAAAGAAAAAGTAACTAATTTAGCAGAGAAAGTTTCTGGGGAATTGTGCTTGTGTTTATTTATTTTTGTTGTTAAAAACCAATAAAAAGGAGATATTTTAAATGTAAATAAAAGATGTTAAGGATATTATCCAATTGGACAAGACGTACTCTCGCAGTTTCCTAGAAGACTTTGTTCTGGAGAATCGCATCCTTGTATGTTGATTGAATATTTTAATGCACAGGCTGTGTGAGAAATATTTGAAATGTAAAAAGAGCTGTGTGGGAAATATTTTAAATGTAAAAGATCTGTATGGGAAATATTTGAAATGTAAAAAAAGAGCTGTGTGGGAAATATTTGAAATGTAAAAAAAAATCTGTGTGGGAAATATTTGAAATGTAAAAAAGAGCTGTATGGGAAATATTTGAAATATAAAAAGGAAATTTAATTTATTTAAAGGTGAAGTCTTGAGTCTCCCATTCCGTTCTTCGACGTGAAGCTCCGTTCAGGCTCCGTTCAGTTATTCGAATTATTAATATTAAATTGAAGAGGCATACTTTTTGCCCTTATAATAAATAGGGTCTCATATTTTCATTAGGGCTTACAAGTTTCAAAAATGTTGAAAATGTTAAGCTCGCAGTTGATAAGATTTTGTGGACAATTGTCTCTCAGTTTATTTTTGTATTCTTATGTGGGATTTGTTTCCTTTTAAGTTGAGGTAAAAAGATTTATAATTAAAATAAATAGTTTTCAATATTCATGCCAAGAAAGTTACATTGTTTTCAAAATTTCCAACTATTATTTCTCATTCCTTGCGATGCAAATTATTATAAGAAGTTACTTATTTAGCTTCTAGTATTTCTGGATGAATTTGTAAATGAAACAGATGTAAATCGTTTTAATAAACTCCATTATTGCATAGTATATATCATATTGGAAAGAAAGCTTGTGATAATTTAAGCGAAGTCCATGAATTATTAACTGTGATGCTTGCATTAATATTTCCAGATTTATTCAATTACATTTAAAGCAAAGCTTCAAATCATAAAAATCCTTCTTGAAAATAAAAAATCCCCAAAGGGATAAATAAATACATAGAGTAAAAAAATACATGAGCTAAAAAAGTAAACCAAGAATTTACCACAGATACATATAAAATATAATATTTTAAGAAACTTGTGTGCATAATATTTAAAAATTTTATGCCAAAAACAAAAATTATTAATCTGTTTAAAAATATTAAATAAAAATTCAAAAAGGAATAAAAGGCTGTTCGTATGGAATAAGGCGCAGTTTCCTAGAAGATTTTGTTCGGCAGAATTTCATCCTTGATGTCGATTGAATAATTAATAATTAATTAACAATAATGCCCATGTGGTTAATTTCATTTAAGTAAAAAAGTCTGAGGTTCTTGAAGCTCTTTGCAGTCAAGTTCTTTTTTTTAAATGATCTGAATTAGAATTAATTGAAATGGTAGAGGAATAGCCTTATAATCATTTTTTAATTATTTTTTCATTTATGTTTTCAAGTTTTTATAAACATAAAAGACGCAACAAATATTTGGCTCATAGTTTAGATTTTATATATGTTTGTTTTTCATTTGATTCCTTAACTTTTCTGGTATTTTAATTATGGCCTCATGCCCTTTTTAGTTTGGGCATATATTTATGTAAAATAGATACTACTTTCAATATTTATATGTAGATCGTTTCCATTTTCCCCAAATATTTCCATTAAAAAATTCATTTGCGATTTCTTTGTTTCTTTGTGCGATGCGAATTATTTAAGCTGTATTTCTGAGCGAATTTGTGAATCTAACAAATGTATATGGTTATAATAAACGAAGATAATGATTCATAAATTAATATGCATTTTCTTGTTGCAATATATCAAATAAGGTTTATAGCTGTAATATTTGAGGTAAAGCCCATATTTTGGTGAATTTCTGATTTTGATGCTTACATTAATATTTGCCCGATTCATTCAATTGCATTCGAAAGTGTTTTTTTGATGACGCCAATTCAATCAATTAAAAAGTATTATAAGATTTTTGTTATTATCCTGGAGCATTTCAAGCAGGTGAGAAGAGGTAACATTTAACAGGTGAGGCGTGAGGTTTATCAGTTTGATTCGTTGATAGATAGATTTTCCCAGAGAATGTCGCGGGAATGGGAAACAGATTGTACAAAAGGATTATTATACAGAATATATATCCATACTCTATTGAAGAAGGCTCGATGATGATTAAACAGTTGCAACAAGTTGGGATTAAGACTTAATAGAATACATAAGGGGGGGAGGGGGTAAGGATAGCAAAGTTTGGCTGTATAAAATGTTGTTCCAGATGAATATAATTAGTTTTGAATAGGGAAATAAATTAAAGTTTGTGAGAGTATACAGGATATGTTATAATAATTGACAACACATTAAAAATATGGAAAAAAACTTTACTGCTGCAAATACTTGGTGTTAGCAAGCCGTAGAAACAGATCTCAACTGGCAAACTATTTCCTATAAGATCTATGCAATAATTAATTTCAAATAAACATAAAATGTATATTTGCAAAGAACAAGATTATTAACCAGAGTTGAGGTGTATAGTTTATACCTTAGTGTACAGTCGCATACAGAAAGTGAACAAATTGTAATTGTTAAATATAGACCGAAAGTATGTTAGTTGAGCAACAAATGGGTTATATATTAATTGTGGCAAAGTTCCTTCACAAATGCAACATAAAACATGTTTTCTGGAAATTGTTGCTAAACAGAAAGCTTTCAACGGAATGTATACATGAATTGATTCAGCATATTCAAACGAACAATGTGAATCGATTTATAGTGAATAAATGTGTTAGCCATGCACATTCATATCAAATATAAATCATACTCTATTATATAGTGTCTGATGTTAACATATATTATTGTTGTTGATCTAGGTTTTTACATTTAGGCAAAGTAATAAGTGATATATGTATATATATATAATCCTATTTGTACATAAGTTTGTCATCATATTGTTGGTTGCATTTCAAAAACATGTCGTAATTATTGTCTTCTTGAATTTCATAGTAATCGGTTTTATGTCCAGTTATATTTGTATCAATTTGTTTTTCAGGAACCAAAGTTAATTCAAATAATTTGTATATCCAAAAACGTAGTAAGATTTAGGGACTTCTTTTCAAAATAAACAAATTTCCCTCTTTTCACAATTGGGCATTTTCTATGTAAGTCAACTTTTCATATTCAACGTGGTATATTTTGTGTATTAGGGAAGTTTCCAATTGGGAAATTTCGATGTTTTCACACTCATCTTAACCATACAGACGTATCATTTTCAGGACATATCTGGCATGTTTAGTATTGTAATATTTGTATGAAATGCAGTTTGTCATATAAATATTTCGTGTTACTTGGAGGCTTATTAGTATCGTGAACATTTTCGGAGTATATGAGAAAGGGGTCATACATGTGGACTCCGAATTTATTATTTCAGTATTCTACTTGTGATTTGTGCTTTGATAAACCAGGGTTCAGATTTCTGAGACATAATGTGATAGATGTGGTTTCATGTCCTTGAAAGTTAATTGTTGGACGTTGGAAAAATATTTTCGTTTTGTTGAAGATCGAACTTAAAAATAGTGAGAGAGTTTCATTTTAAAGATGTCAGCTGTGTTGAGTTGCTTGTAGATGGAGGAGCAGTTGGGAAGTAGAAGATATTGAGTTGATTGTAGATGGAGAAGTTGAGAAGCAGAAGAATCTTTTGTGGATGTATACTTGGTTGGCACATTAATATTTGAGAAGTTTTAGCTTGAATTAAATGTGGTGCGTTGAGGTAGATTTATGCTTGGCCTGACGTGTAGTTTCCATTGATTCAGATGATTCAGACGATTTTGGAAAGTTCATACTCATTCTTTGCAGGAAATTTCCAGGTTGAAAAGTAGCTAGATCATAATTGGATGATATGTTCCATTTTATGCTGGACAATTTTGACCAATAAAGGATATTTTTGTGTTATAGAAGGTAAAGGTGAAGTTCGAACTTTTATAAATCGTAGACAAAAAATGCTGTGTATTTTGTTGATTAGAAGCATTTAATGTTCTGTCAATTGTCGCTTTTCCTTGATTTTTGAAAGGGATTTTCGATTTTTCTTTGTGCATTTTTCACGTGGCATTGTAGTTTGATGATATCTAGTAAAACATTGACTATGCAGAAATAAAATTTAAGACGTAAAGAAGTTCATGATAAATTACCAAATATAATTAATTGTGTATCATCCTATGTTCTTGGGTCTTTAATTTTACAGAAATATGGCGTTGTAATGTCATGTATATTATCTTAATGTTTAACCATTTTCGCATCATATCGCAAGTTTTCACACTCTTTCTAAACCAAACACTTCACTCTCAAATTATTCACAGTTTTCTTGTATGTGTTTAAATTATTGTATGTTTAAAATTTGGGTTGTAATCGAGGTTTGTGTTTGACCTACCTAAAAGGGAAATTTCTATGTATTCACACTCTTAACCGAACACTCCACTCTCAAATTCATCGCAGTTTGTGTATGACCTACCTAATAGGAAAATTTCTACGTTTTCACACTCTTTCCTAACCGAACACGCCATTTTCGTAAAATTTATCGCAGTTTTCGTGTATGGTTTCACACTCTTGTATGTTTAACATTTGGGTTGTAATCGAGGTTTGTGTTTGACCTACCTAAAAGGGAAATTTCTATGTTTTTACACTCTTTCCTAACCGAACACGCCATTCTCTTTAAATTCATCGCAGTTTGTGAATGACCTACCTAAAAGGGAAATTTCTATGTTTTCACACTCTTTCCTAACCAAACACGCCATTCTCTTTAAATTCATCGCAGTTTTCGTGTATGTTTTCACACTCTTGTATGTTTAAAATTTGGGTTGTAATCGAGGTTTGTGTATGACCTACCTAATAGGAAAATTTCTATGTATTCACACTCTTAACCGAACACTCCACTCTCAAATTCATCGCAGTTTGTGTATGACCTACCTAATAGGAAAATTTCTACGTTTTCACACTCTTTCCTAACCGAACACGCCATTTTCGTAAAATTTATCGCAGTTTTCGTGTATGGTTTCACACTCTTGTATGTTTAACATTTGGGTTGTAATCGAGGTTTGTGTTTGACCTACCTAAAAGGGAAATTTCTATGTTTTTACACTCTTTCCTAACCGAACACGCCATTCTCTATAAATTCATCGCAGTTTGTGAATGACCTACCTAAAAGGGAAATTTCTATGTTTTCACACTCTTTCCTAACCAAACACGCCATTCTCTTTAAATTCATCGCAGTTTTCGTGTATGTTTTCACACTCTTGTATGTTTAAAATTTGGGTTGTAATCGAGGTTTGTGTATGACCTACCTAAAAGGGAAATTTCTATGTCTTCACACTCTTAACCGAACGCAATTCTCTTTAAATTCATCGCAGTTTTCGTGTGTTTTCACACTCTTGTATGTTTAAAATTTGGGTTGTAATCGAGGTTTGTGTTTGACCTACCTAATAGGGAAATTTCTATGTTTTCACACTCTTAACCGAACGCAATTCTCTTTAAATTCAACGCAGATTGTGTATGACCTACCTAAAAGGGAAATTTCTATGTTTTCACATTCTTTCCTAACCAAACACGCCATTCTCTTTAAATTCATCGCAGTTTTCGTGTATGTTTTCACACTCTTGTATGTTTAAAATTTGGGTTGTAATCGAGGTTTGTGTTTGACCTACCTAATGGGGAAATTTCAATGTTTTCACACTCTTTCCTAACCGAACGCGCCATTCTCTTTAAATTCATCGCAGTTTTCGTGTGTTTTCACACTCTTGTATGTTTAAAATTTGGGTTGTAATCGAGGTTTGTGTTTGACCTACCTAATAGGGAAATTTCTATGTTTTCACACTCTTAACCGAACGCAATTCTCTTTAAATTCAACGCAGATTGTGTATGACCTACCTAAAAGGGAAATTTCTATGTTTTCACATTCTTTCTTAACCGAACACGCCATTTTCGTAAAACTTATCGCAGTTTTCGTGTATGTTTTCACACTCTTGTATGTTTAAAATTTGGGTGGGTATCGAGGTTTGTGTTTGACCTACCTAATAGGGAAATTTCTATGTTTTCACACTCTTTCCTAACCGAACACGCCATTCTCTTTAAATTTATCGCAGTTTTCGTGTATGTTTTCACACTCTTGTATGTTTAAAATTTGGGTGGGTATCGAGGTTTGTGTTTGACCTACCTAATAGGGAAATTTCTATGTTTTCACTCAACCGAACACCATTCTCTTCAAATTCAACGCAGATTGTGTATGACCTACCTAAAAGGGAAATTTCTACGTTTTCACACTCTTTCCTAACCGAACACGCCATTCTCTTTAAATTCATCGCAGTTTGTGAATGACCTACCTAATAGCGAAATTTCTATGTTTTCACACTCTTAATCGAACACTACTCTCAAATTCATCGCAGTTTGTGTATAACCTACCTAAAAGGGAAATTTCTATGTTTTCACTCTTAACCGAACACCATTCTCTTCAAATTCAACGCAGATTGTGTATGACCTACCTAAAAGTAAAATTTCTATGTCTTCACACTCTTAACCGATAGCAATTCTCTTTAAATTCATCGCAGTTTTCGTGAATGTTTTCACACTCTTGTATGTTTAACATTTGGGTTGTAATCGAGGTTTGTGTTTGACCTACCTAAAAGGGAAATTTCTATGTTTTTACGCCATTCTCTTTTAATTCATCGCAGTTTGTGAATGACCTACCTAAAAGGGAAATTTCTATGTTTTCATACTCTTAACCGAACACCATTCTCTTCAAATTCATCGCAGTTTTCGTGTATGTTCTCACTCTCTTGTATGTTTAAAATTTGGGTTGTAATCGAGGTTTGTGTTTGACCTACCTAATAGGGAAATTTCTATGTTTTCACACTTAACCGAACGCAATTCTCTTTAAATTCAACGCAGATTGTGTATGACCTACCTAAAAGGGAAATTTCTATGTTTTCACATTCTTTCTTAACCGAACACGCCATTTTCGTAAAATTTATCGCAGTTTTCGTGTATGTTTTCACACTCTTGTATGTTTAACATTTGGGTTGTAATCGAGGTTTGTGTTTGACCTACCTAAAAGGGAAATTTCTATGTTTTCACACTCTTTCCTAACCGAACACGCCATTCTCTTTAAATTTATCGCAGTTTTCGTGTATGTTTTCACACTCTTGTATGTTTAAAATTTGGGTGGGTATCGAGGTTTGTGTTTGACCTACCTAATAGGGAAATTTCTATGTTTTCACTCAACCGAACACCATTCTCTTCAAATTCAACGCAGATTGTGTATGACCTACCTAAAAGTAAAATTTCTATGTTTTCACACTCTTAACCGAACGCAATTCTCTTTAAATTCAACGCAGATTGTGTATGACCTACCTAAAAGGGAAATTTCTATGTTTTCACATTCTTTCTTAACCGAACACGCCATTTTCGTAAAATTTATCGCAGTTTTCGTGTATGTTTTCACACTCTTGTATGTTTAACATTTGGGTTGTAATCGAGGTTTGTGTTTGACCTACCTAAAAGGGAAATTTCTATGTTTTTACGCCATTCTCTTTTAATTCATCGCAGTTTGTGAATGACCTACCTAAAAGGGAAATTTCTATGTTTTCATACTCTTAACCGAACACCATTCTCTTCAAATTCATCGCAGTTTTCGTGTATGTTCTCACTCTCTTGTATGTTTAAAATTTGGGTTGTAATCGAGGTTTGTGTTTGACCTACCTAATAGGGAAATTTCTATGTTTTCACACTTAACCGAACGCAATTCTCTTTAAATTCAACGCAGATTGTGTATGACCTACCTAAAAGTAAAATTTCTATGTTTTCACACTCTTAACCGAACACCATTCTCTTCAAATTCAACGCAGATTGTGTATGACCTACCTAAAAGGGAAATTTCTACGTTTTCACACTCTTTCCTAACCGAACACGCCATTCTCTTTAAATTCATCGCAGTTTGTGAATGACCTACCTAATAGCGAAATTTCTATGTTTTCACACTCTTAATCGAACACTACTCTCAAATTCATCGCAGTTTGTGTATAACCTACCTAAAAGGGAAATTTCTATGTTTTCACTCTTAACCGAACACCATTCTCTTCAAATTCAACGCAGATTGTGTATGACCTACTTAAAAGTAAAATTTCTATGTCTTCACACTCTTAACCGATAGCAATTCTCTTTAAATTCATCGCAGTTTTCGTGAATGTTTTCACACTCTTGTATGTTTAACATTTGGGTTGTAATCGAGGTTTGTGTTTGACCTACCTAAAAGGGAAATTTCTATGTTTTTACGCCATTCTCTTTTAATTCATCGCAGTTTGTGAATGACCTACCTAAAAGGGAAATTTCTATGTTTTCATACTCTTAACCGAACACCATTCTCTTCAAATTCATCGCAGTTTTCGTGTATGTTCTCACTCTCTTGTATGTTTAAAATTTGGGTTGTAATCGAGGTTTGTGTTTGACCTACCTAATAGGGAAATTTCTATGTTTTCACACTTAACCGAACGCAATTCTCTTTAAATTCAACGCAGATTGTGTATGACCTACCTAAAAGGGAAATTTCTATGTTTTCACATTCTTTCTTAACCGAACACGCCATTTTCGTAAAATTTATCGCAGTTTTCGTGTATGTTTTCACACTCTTGTATGTTTAACATTTGGGTTGTAATCGAGGTTTGTGTTTGACCTACCTAAAAGGGAAATTTCTATGTTTTCACACTCTTTCCTAACCGAACACGCCATTCTCTTTAAATTTATCGCAGTTTTCGTGTATGTTTTCACACTCTTGTATGTTTAAAATTTGGGTGGGTATCGAGGTTTGTGTTTGACCTACCTAATAGGGAAATTTCTATGTTTTCACTCAACCGAACACCATTCTCTTCAAATTCAACGCAGATTGTGTATGACCTACCTAAAAGGGAAATTTCTACGCTTTCACACTCTTTCCTAACCGAACACGCCATTCTCTCTAAATTCATCGCAGTTTGTGAATGACCTACCTAATAGCGAAATTTCTATGTTTTCACACTCTTAATCGAACACTACTCTCAAATTCATCGCAGTTTGTGTATAACCTACCTAAAAGGGAAATTTCTATGTCTTCACACTCTTAACCGAACACCATTCTCTTCAAATTCAACGCAGATTGTGTATGACCTACCTAAAAGTAAAATTTCTATGTCTTCACACTCTTAACCGATAGCAATTCTCTTTAAATTCATCGCAGTTTTCGTGAATGTTTTCACACTCTTGTATGTTTAACATTTGGGTTGTAATCGAGGTTTGTGTTTGACCTACCTAAAAGGGAAATTTCTATGTTTTCACATTCTTTCTTAACCGAACACGCCATTTTCGTAAAATTTATCGCAGTTTTCGTGTATGTTTTCACACTCTTGTATGTTTAACATTTGGGTTGTAATCGAGGTTTGTGTTTGACCTACCTAAAAGGGAAATTTCTATGTTTTCACACTTAACCGAACGCAATTCTCTTTAAATTCAACGCAGATTGTGTATGACCTACCTAAAAGGGAAATTTCTATGTTTTCACATTCTTTCTTAACCGAACACGCCATTTTCGTAAAATTTATCGCAGTTTTCGTGTATGTTTTCACACTCTTGTATGTTTAACATTTGGGTTGTAATCGAGGTTTGTGTTTGACCTACCTAAAAGGGAAATTTCTATGTTTTCACACTCTTTCCTAACCGAACACGCCATTCTCTTTAAATTTATTGCAGTTTGTGAATGACCTACCTAAAAGGGAAATTTCTACGTTTTCACACTCTTAACCGAACGCAATTCTCTTTAAATTCATCGCAGTTTTGTGTATGTTTTCACACTCTTGTATGTTTAAAATTTGGGTGGGTATCGAGGTTTGTGTTTGACCTACCTAATAGGGAAATTTCTATGTTTTCACTCTTAACCGAACACCATTCTCTTCAAATTCAACGCAGATTGTGTATGACATACCTAAAAGGGAAATTTCTATGTTTTCACACTCTTTCTTAATCGAACACTACTCTCAAATTCATCGCAGTTTGTGTATAACCTACCTAATAGCGAAATTTCTATGTTTTCACACTCTTAACCGAGCACCATTCTCTTCGAATTCATCGCAGTTTTCGTGTATGTTCTCGTTCTCTTGTATGTTTAAAATTTGGGTTGTAATCGAGGTTTGTGTATGACCTACCTAAAAGGGAAATTTCTATGTTTTCACACTCTTTCGTGACCGAACACACCATTTTCGTAAAATTTATCGCAGTTTTCGTGTGTTTTTACACTTTTTTCGTATATTTAGTATTGCAATATTTGAATAGAAAGCAGCTTTTGTAAAGGATTTTTTCGTGTAGGGTTTACCAGAATTGGCCATGTTCGGAGCACACGGGATTTTCAGATTGTTTTGTGTATATTTTTTGTTTTGATACTCTTTCGTTTGTTTAGTATTGTATAATTTATATTGGACGCAGTTTTATAAGGGAGATGTATAAGACAACGTGGTTTGAGTAGAATGTTTCGTAGATTGTGTATTATAAATTAAACTTAAAATTTGGTTGTAATCACGGGTCAGATATATATATAAATGGTAAAATTTGTCGAATGATGAGGAACGTTGTAAAAAATATTTTGAAGTTGTTGAAAATCGAACTTAAAACATAGCAACCAGATGAGTTTGAAAGATGTCAGCTGTGTTTAGTTGCTTGTAGATGGAGGAGCAGTTGGGAAGTAGAAGATATTGAGTTGCTTGTAGATGGAGAAGTTGAGAAGCAGAAGAATCTTTTGTGGATGTATACTTGGTTGGCACATTAATATTTGAGAAGTTTTAGCTTGAATTAAATGTGGTGCGTTGAGGTAGATTTATGCTTGGCCTGACGTGTAGTTTCCATTGATTCAGATGATTCAGACGATTTTGGAAAGTTCATACTCATTCTTTGGAGGAAATTTCCAGGTTGAAAAGTAGCTAGATCATAATTGGATGATATGTTCCATTTTATGCTGGACAATTTTGACCAATAAAGGATATTTTTGTGTTATAGAAGGTAAAGGTGAAGTTCGAACTTTTATAAATCGTAGACAAAAAATGCTGTGTATTTTGTTGATTAGAAGCATTTAATGTTCTGTCAATTGTCGCTTTTCCTTGATTTTTGAAAGGGATTTTCGATTTTTCTTTGTGCATTTTTCACGTGGCATTGTAGTTTGATGATATCTAGTAAAACATTGACTATGCAGAAATAAAATTTAAGACGTAAAGAAGTTCATGATAAATTACCAAATATAATTAATTGTATATCATCCTATGTTCTTGGGTCTTTAATTTTACAGAAATATGGCGTTGTAATGTCATGTATATTATCTTAATGTTTAACCATTTTCGCAGCATATCGCAAGTTTTCACACTCTTTCTAAACCAAACACTTCACTCTCAAATTATTCACAGTTTTCGTGTATGTGTTTAAATTATTGTATGTTTAAAATTTGGGTTGTAATCGAGGTTTGTGTATGACCTACCTAATAGGAAAATTTCTATGTATTCACACTCTTAACCGAACACTCCACTCTCAAATTCATCGCAGTTTGTGTATGACCTACCTAATAGGAAAATTTCTACGTTTTCACACTCTTTCCTAACCGAACACGCCATTTTCGTAAAATTTATCGCAGTTTTCGTGTATGGTTTCACACTCTTGTATGTTTAACATTTGGGTTGTAATCGAGGTTTGTGTTTGACCTACCTAAAAGGGAAATTTCTATGTTTTCACACTCTTTCCTAACCAAACACGCCATTCTCTTCAAATTCATCGCAGTTTTCGTATGTTTTCACACTCTTGTATGTTTAAAATTTGGGTTGTAATCGCAGTTTGTGTATGACCTACCTAATAGGGAAATTTCTATGTTTTCACATTTTCTCTTAACCGAACACTCCACTCTCAAATTCATCGCAGTTTGTGTATGACCTACCTAAAAGGGAAATTTTTATGTCTTCACACTCTTAACCGAACACCATTCTCTTCAAATTCATCGCAGTTTTCGTATGTTTTCACACTCTTGTATGTTTAAAATTTGGGTTGTAATCGCAGTTTGTGTATGACCTACCTAATAGGGAAATTTCTATGTTTTCACATTCTCTCTTAACCGAACACTCCACTCTCAAATTCATCGCAGTTTGTGTATGACCTACCTAAAAGGGAAATTTTTATGTCTTCACACTCTTAACCGAACACCATTCTCTTCAAATTCATCGCAGTTTTCGTATGTTTTCACACTCTTGTATGTTTAAAATTTGGGTTGTAATCGCAGTTTGTGTATGACCTACCTAATAGGGAAATTTCTATGTTTTCACATTCTCTCTTAACCGAACACTCCACTCTCAAATTCATCGCAGTTTGTGTATGACCTACCTAAAAGGGAAATTTTTATGTCTTCACACTCTTAACCGAACACCATTCTCTTCAAATTCATCGCAGTTTTCGTATGTTTTCACACTCTTGTATGTTTAAAATTTGGGTTGTAATCGAGGTTTGTGTATGACCTACCTAAAAGGGAAATTTCTATGTTTTCACATTCTTTCTTAACCGAACACGCCATTTTCGTAAAATTTATCGCAGTTTTCGTGTATGTTTTCACACTCTTGTATGTTTAAAATATGGGTGGGTATCGAGGTTTGTGTTTGACCTACCTAATAGGGAAATTTCTACGTTTTCACACTCTTTCCTAACCGAACACCATTCTCTTCAAATTCAACGCAGATTGTGTATGACCTACCTAAAAGGGAAATTTCTACGTTTTCACACTCTTTCCTAACCGAACACGCCATTCTCTTTAAATTCATCGCAGTTTGTGAATGACCTACCTAATAGCGAAATTTCTATGTTTTCACACTCTTAATCGAACACTACTCTCAAATTCATCGCAGTTTGTGTATAACCTACCTAAAAGGGAAATTTCTATGTCTTCACACTCTTAACCGAACACCATTCTCTTCAAATTCAACGCAGATTGTGTATGACCTACCTAAAAGTAAAATTTCTATGTCTTCACACTCTTAACCGATAGCAATTCTCTTTAAATTCATCGCAGTTTTCGTGAATGTTGTCACACTCTTGTATGTTTAAAATTTGGGTGGGTATCGAGGTTTGTGTATGACCTACCTAATAGGGAAATTTCTATGTTTTCACATTCTTTCTTAACCGAACACGCCATTTTCGTAAAATTTATCGCAGTTTTCGTGTATGGTTTCACACTCTTGTATGTTTAACATTTGGGTTGTAATCGAGGTTTGTGTTTGACCTACCTAAAAGGGAAATTTCTATGTATTCACACTCTTAACCGAACACTCCACTCTCAAATTCATCGCAGTTTGTGTATGACCTACCTAATAGGAAAATTTCTATGTTTTCACACTCTTTCCTAACCGAACACGCCATTTTCGTAAAATTTATCGCAGTTTTCGTGTATGGTTTCACACTCTTGTATGTTTAACATTTGGGTTGTAATCGAGGTTTGTGTTTGACCTACCTAAAAGGGAAATTTCTATGTTTTTACACTCTTTCCTAACCGAACACGCCATTCTCTTTAAATTCATCGCAGTTTGTGAATGACCTACCTAAAAGGGAAATTTCTATGTTTTCACACTCTTTCCTAACCAAACACGCCATTCTCTTTAAATTCATCGCAGTTTTCGTGTATGTTTTCACACTCTTGTATGTTTAAAATTTGGGTTGTAATCGAGGTTTGTGTTTGACCTACCTAAAAGGGAAATTTCTATGTTTTCACACTCTTTCCTAACCGAACACGCCATTCTCTTTAAATTTATCGCAGTTTTCGTGTATGTTTTCACACTCTTGTATGTTTAAAATTTGGGTGGGTATCGAGGTTTGTGTTTGACCTACCTAATAGGGAAATTTCTATGTTTTCACTCAACCGAACACCATTCTCTTCAAATTCAACGCAGATTGTGTATGACCTACCTAAAAGTAAAATTTCTATGTCTTCACACTCTTAACCGATAGCAATTCTCTTTACATTCATCGCAGTTTTCGTGTATGTTTTCACACTCTTGTATGTTTAAAATTTGGGTGGGTATCGAGGTTTGTGTTTGACCTACCTAATAGGGAAATTTCTATGTTTTCACTCAACCGAACACCATTCTCTTCAAATTCAACGCAGATTGTGTATGACCTACCTAAAAGTAAAATTTCTATGTCTTCACACTCTTAACCGATAGCAATTCTCTTTACATTCATCGCAGTTTTCGTGTATGTTTTCACACTCTTGTATGTTTAAAATTTGGGTGGGTATCGAGGTTTGTGTATGACCTACCTAATAGGGAAATTTCTATGTTTTCACATTCTTTCTTAACCGAACACGCCATTTTCGTAAAATTTATCGCAGTTTGTTTTGACATACCTAAAAGGGAAATTTCTATGTTTTCACACTCTTTCTTAATCGAACACTACTCTCAAATTCATCGCAGTTTGTGTATAACCTACCTAATAGCGAAATTTCTATGTTTTCACACTCTTAACCGAACACCATTCTCTTCGAATTCATCGCAGTTTTCGTGTATGTTTTCACACTCTTGTATGTTTAACATTTGGGTTGTAATCGAGGTTTGTGTTTGACCTACCTAAAAGGGAAATTTCTATGTTTTCACACTCTTTCCTAACCGAACACGCCATTCTCTTTAAATTTATCGCAGTTTTCGTGTATGTTTTCACACTCTTGTATGTTTAACATTTGGGTTGTAATCGAGGTTTGTGTTTGACCTACCTAAAAGGGAAATTTCTATGTTTTCACACTCTTTCCTAACCGAACGCAATTCTCTTTAAATTCATCGCAGTTTTTGTGTATGTTTTCACACTCTTGTATGTTTAAAATTTGGGTGGGTATCGAGGTTTGTGTTTGACCTACCTAATAGGGAAATTTCTATGTTTTCACTCTTAACCGAACACCATTCTCTTCAAATTCAACGCAGATTGTGTATGACATACCTAAAAGGGAAATTTCTATGTTTTCACACTCTTTCTTAATCGAACACTACTCTCAAATTCATCGCAGTTTGTGTATAACCTACCTAATAGCGAAATTTCTATGTTTTCACACTCTTAACCGAGCACCATTCTCTTCGAATTCATCGCAGTTTTCGTGTATGTTCTCGTTCTCTTGTATGTTTAAAATTTGGGTTGTAATCGAGGTTTGTGTATGACCTACCTAAAAGGGAAATTTCTATGTTTTCACACTCTTTCGTGACCGAACACACCATTTTCGTAAAATTTATCGCAGTTTTCGTGTGTTTTTACACTTTTTTCGTATATTTAGTATTGCAATATTTGAATAGAAAGCAGCTTTTGTAAAGGATTTTTTCGTGTAGGGTTTACCAGAATTGGCCATGTTCGGAGCACACGGGATTTTCAGATTGTTTTGTGTATATTTTTTGTTTTGATACTCTTTCGTTTGTTTAGTATTGTATAATTTATATTGGACGCAGTTTTATAAGGGAGATGTATAAGACAACGTGGTTTGAGTAGAATGTTTCGTAGATTGTGTATTATAAATTAAACTTAAAATTTGGTTGTAATCACGGGTCAGATATATATATAAATGGTAAAATTTGTCGAAAGATGAGGAACGTTGTAAAAAATATTTTGAAGTTGTTGAAAATCGAACTTAAAACATAGCAACCAGATGAGTTTGAAAGATGTCAGCTGTGTTTAGTTGCTTGTAGATGGAGGAGCAGTTGGGAAGTAGAAGATATTGAGTTGCTTGTAGATGGAGAAGTTGAGAAGCAGAAGAATCTTTTGTGGATGTATACTTGGTTGGCACATTAATATTTGAGAAGTTTTAGCTTGAATTAAATGTGGTGCGTTGAGGTAGATTTATGCTTGGCCTGACGTGTAGTTTCCATTGATTCAGATGATTCAGACGATTTTGGAAAGTTCATACTCATTCTTTGGAGGAAATTTCCAGGTTGAAAAGTAGCTAGATCATAATTGGATGATATGTTCCATTTTATGCTGGACAATTTAGACCATTAAGGAGTATTTTTTGTCATTGAAGTTAAGTTCCGATGTTAAGTTGTGGAAGAAAAATTGCTTTTGAGGATTAGTGTTTAATCTTTGTGTTTAATCCTTGTTTAGTTCTCTTTGTATTTGAAGTAAATTTGATTTTTATATGTAAACTGTTCAGGTTGTGTTGTAGAGTTTAATATCTAGTAAACCGAGGACTAACCAAAAATAAATTGTAGAAAAATTGAAGACGCTTAATCTCATAAGTAAATCGGAAAAATTTGAATAAATTGTAGAATATTGTGTAATGTTGGGTATTTAAAATTTGTATAAATACGGCCGTTGGAGTGTCGTATAGATTATTTGAATATTCAACCATTTTTGCAGCTTATCGCATAACTTGTTAGCATTTACCAAAACCCTAATATATTTATAACTAACAAATTCGCATGTTATATTTCCCTTATATGATCGCAAGGTATGTGTATTGGCTAAAATATTAACTTATATTTATAGGGAATGCCTCGTATATATATAGAAATTGTCGATGTTTACCTTAACTTCAAACCTTAAAATTTTTATACTTTTATACGCATAATTTTCGAGTAAATAAACCTGTATGGGATATTTAGAGTGGCCCTTCCTCCATTTGTACGATGATTAGACTGAAATTTGTATAGAATTTTAGCTTAAAATAAAAATATGGCGAACAATTGTTTCGAAATTTATTGGTCTTCTTAGATTTCTTTTATTCTTTTTTGTTTGTAGCTTTTCTGTATTGATGAGCTCATTCTTTTTTTTTTTTTTTTGCTTATATTCTTCATTCATTATCTATAACTGGTATGGACAAGTATATTTACAACAATAAATGGACAAATTTTCTTAAATCTTGGGTTGTGTGTACAAAAACAGAATATTTTCTTTGTTTTTTTCTTTTTGTTTAACAGTTTCAGGTATTTAAGAACTTAAGTCGCACATGTCGTGTACTAGCAAATGTTTATGTTTACAACAGAAAAAAAAATAAGTAAATAACAAGAATATAGTTTGTAAATTGTGCTGCATAAAACGAACTAACGATCGGCTCGTTCAGTTGCTACTCCAGATACGAGATATATATATATATCTTTATCGATCGATGTCAGTAGTGTTTATATCTGTTTGGATCGGTATTGATAACGGTTCGATGATGTTAGGTAAATAATAGAAGGCCGTATATAAACGTATAGGTAATTGTGCGCCTTTGTTTTGAACAAGTCATAGTAGAGCAGAGAAGTCGATACAGGTTCCTATAAATTCAATCCACGCAATCACAATCTGATAAAAACGATGTTTAGTACCCCTGTGTGTAGGTAGCGACACACACACAGGTCGCTGAGTTCAGATATACTCTCGCCACACGGCTAACGGGGCCAAAAACCAACGGCATATTTCAGCTGTTGTAATGCCCTTTCGCACGCATTGCATTCGAGTTATAACATCGATCGATCGCGTATCAACTTTCAACGCCCAACTATAAAGTTTAGAGAAAGAAATACATATTGCTTGGTTAACGTGTAAAACAATTATCAAAATGGCAGTTAATTAATTAAGATTAACAACTAGATTTTTAAACGGCTAAAAGAACTTAATTTAGTACGTAAATTGCCAATAAAAGCGACCGTTCCAGAGAAACTTGTGTAAGAGAGATGGTAACACACTTATACGTATACGTACAGAAGAGGTGGAAAGAGTCAAATCAATACAACAAAGGCGGGTCCAATAACTCACCACGGGGTGGGTTGATTGCGCAGCTGCTGGGCCACGCAAAGGCATCTGTACGTAAGTGTGCAAGCGAGATAGTATGTGTATACAAGTCGTATATTTACATGCAATGCATACAATGCGCGTTATTTTTAGAGCAGGCCAACCGCTCTTCTTTGGGCGTTTTACACATAGAACAGTCGAGGTGGTTCATGTATGACAGAAAATAAGATGACTCATGGCCCTGCATGGGGTGGATTTTGTGCTAGATGCGACGAAAAAACGATATTACGCAATACAGAAATTGCAAATATGAATATTACACAATATTTGCAAATTTGTTCATTTCGAAAAGAAATTTATACAAACGTTTACTTAGAAAAGCAGGAAAAAAAATCACGCTGACGTCACACGTTCGAAAACGTTTTAGAAATTGACAAATTGACTGGCAATAAAAACTACGCCTTAAGCTTAGAGTTTTTGCTTACGTATAACAAGAGAGAACAAGCTGTCTTCGCTGCGTTTTATACCTGGCTTCCTATCCAAACTCCTCAAGTCCAGGACAACACACACACTCCGCACACTCCGGCTAGCAATTCAAACGCCTGGCATCTGCCTCAGCCTGCCTACAGTGCAACTTTCTAGCCAAAGATGAAAAACTTGGTTTGGGTTTTCGCACCGCCAAGTCTGGTTTCGTGTGGCCCCATTTCGCCGTTATGTGAAAATGCCTGACGTGCCCACGCTGAGATGTCGACGAGGAGGACGAGAAGCTGATTTCATTTTCTTTGTTCAGAGCAGAAATGCTTGAGAAACCCGTACTAGCAATTATTTCAGCCTTCGTGCCATGTTATAGCTCCGCAGGTTCGCCTTTCCAACTGTTTCTGCACACTTTTGCATTGCCGTTGAACAATATATATACATGGTATGTGTGTGTGTAACAACTAATGTGAAAATTTAGCACTTTATATCAGAAACAACTTTTCTTTAACTAAATTTCAGTTTCACGAGAGAACTTCACTTGAGCACTAATTTTTTTCGAATGACTGAGATGCCTACTGCGAGCTCTATTTATACCCAGCGGCAGCTGCCTTCTCGACGCTTCGAAAAATCGATTTGTCTCCCTTGTGTGCGACAAATGTATTACGAAGGTGCGAGTGAATACACTGCTGTGTTTGCTGCCTACGTGCCTTACTGCTTTGTATACTCTGCCCACCGACACAGTTCCTTGGTTATAAAAATAAGTATAAACAAGTATAAGATAAATTCACATGTGTAAGTCCCTTTGTTAAGCTGGGTTAGGATCAGCATAAAATGGTCTCTTTTCAAGGTATGCCACTTATACATATATTTAACTAATCAGTCTTTAAATTTAGGTACCCTTAACATAGCATAAGCAGTCAGTAGAGTATTTGAAGCGAGGCGTGCTAAAACAAATATAGTTTATTTTTTCAATTTACAAATATTGTTGCCAGACTGCAATTGTGTGAGCGAGATAGTTAAGACGCGCTGACCTAACGCACAGGCTTGCCAGACTTTTGTTGCTGGAAATTTCTATAAAATTCGGGCGCGTCGTTTGAATGTTTGTTTTACTTCTGTTATACTGTTATACTTAAATAAATTAATTGCTGTATCAAAAAATGTAAAAAAAAATATATTATGTGCGTAACAAGAGTTGAAGAGTTTTTTGGCATTGTTTTAAAAAGACAAAAAAATGAACAACCTTAGAATCTTTCTTTTATAATAGTGTCTTATACTTCTATGAACACCACAGTTGATAATAATAAAATTGCAGAATATGTATTTTTCAATATGAGTTGGGAAGATCGCCCGGAAAATGAGATTATTTTCAATATTGTATATTTAAGTGGTAACCGAATTTGCAGGCAGATCAATCATAAAAAAAAACAAGTAAGAGGTTCTAGTCGGGAGCTCCCGACTAGGGGATACCCTGAACACTCTTCTTCCAACATCAAATGCATATATATATTCTATTTTAGAAGCTATATGCCAAGTTTGGTGACTCCAGCTCTTATTATTTACCAAAATTGCCCAAAAAACAGGATATCGATATCGATTTTTATCGATTGCTTGAAAACGGAGCAAGTTATCGATTATCGGAAACAAACTCGAACTGCGCGGGAACTAGGAGCATCTACATCTAAAATTTCTAGCTCTTATAGGTTCTGAGAACCTTGCGTTCATACATACGGACAGACGGACGGACGGACGGACAGACGGACAGACAGACAGACGGACATGGCTAGATCGATTCGGCTATTGGAGCTGATCAAGAATATATATACTTTATGGGGTCGGAGATGCTTCCTTCTGCCTGTTACATACATTTGGATTTTGCACAAATACAATATACCCTTATACCCATTTTTAATGGGTTCAGGGTATAAAAAAAAACAATTTAATTTTTAAAGTAATTAACGTGTTTAGGCTGCAAAGTACATAAGCATAGATTTTGATATTTTATAAAAATAAATAAAACCAAGAAAAGTCCCCTCAGAATCCCTCAGAGTTTTATAATATGTTGTGTTTAATTCTAATTTGTCGAAATCACAATCGAATTCCAAAAACATTTTATATTTTATTTAAATGTTTCCCAAATATGAATTGATAAGTTTGTTTATTTATAAATTATAGTTTTTATATAATTAATTAAAATTCTTGCGTATATAACTTTATAAATGTTTACGAATGAGATGCAAAATAAATCTAGTGCTAAAATCTTGAACGAAATGGTCTTCTTTATTTTGACAAAGTTATGAGACATTGAAATCTAAATTTTCTACAGTGTAGTTGGCAGTATCACATTGTTTGTGTGTGTTGAACCAAGCACAAGGTTTTTGAACCTTTGCCTGGCCCAGCAGGAAAGACAGCTGTTGCCAGAGCGCGCGCGCATCCTGTGCTCAATGGGATGGGTATTGCTCGCACACTCTCACTCGCGCTCTCTCACTCGCACTTACGCTCTCACTCGCGCTCACACTCTCAGTTGCGCTCTCACTCAATCTCTTTGAGTGAGTTTCTTTTCGGAATCCGAGTCGGATTACTCGCTGCTGGCCGAGTGAGTGTACTTAAACACGCTAAATATGAATGCTAACGAGCTAGGCAATAAACAAAACTTAAACTCGAAAACTGCCATTAAACTTTAAACAAATGCAAAAAAAAAAATAAATAAAAAACAAGGGGCGATTCGGGTCAAAGTTTGGCTCCATGGGAAAGGGAATTGCTGAGCCAGCTGAGGGCAGCGCTTGGCCAAAACTCTGATGCGACTTTGTGACCAGAACGACTTGAGATTTTGTTGAGGAAACGCTAAAATAACAGTTTGTGGGAAGGAAGCCATCAGAAAAACGGCAATTGGCAGGACAAACAAAGGCAACAACAACAATAATAATGGTAGAACTTTCGGAAATTGCGTATACGCCGTGGGCGCCCGTGCGTAACTGCATTGATAATAGACCCGAGTCTATGGCTGGCTTGTTGCTTTTGTTTTGTTTCCTGCGGCAGCAGACACACACACACACGCAGACACACATTCGCAGACACACACACGCACACACTCAGAGAGCACACCCCTCGCAGCAAAAACAAAGGGGCAAAACATTCAAATGGCATAATAAACGTATTTACCCAGAGAATGGGCAACAACAACATGTTTTATTATGGCACAAAATGAGGCTGAGTTTTCCCTTTTAGAAGTTTTCCCTTTTCGCCTTTTTCCCAGCATCTGAGCTTTGTGCTCAGGGTCTCGCGTTCACGTTCCCTGACATTTTGCAATGGTTTAACCTTGTATCTTGCCAAATGTGGTCCTTCGAATTTTTGAGCCTACAAAGTTGTAGGTTTCCTGTGCCTGTGCAAATTTTGTGGAAAATGTGTTGGGAAATGAGAAAATGAGTGAAAAACAACAAACGCTGTGGCATAACGCTGCCAAATGCATTTGAGGGCCAGCCATGCCCAATTTGCTCAGCGACAAGGACGACGACGAGTCGCCCACATACGAACAGCACACGCACACACACGCAACTCACATACACACACATACACACACACTCTCGTTTGAGCTTTAACGAAGGCAGGCTGTTTTGCGGGCGCGGCTTGGCAACAGGGACCTACATTCAGTCGTCGGCAGGCTCGTATCGCGTCGGCTACTGGCTTGTCTCCTGGCTCGTCTCCTGGCTCCTGGCTGCTGGCCTTATCGTGCCTCAAAAGCGAGCTGGCCGTGCAGCATTTGGAGCAGTGCTTCAGCAGACACCAGGCCGTGCACAGCTCGCGGCGATAAATAAATTCGAAAAAGAAAAGGTCGAGTCGTCAACACGGAAACGAACACGCGTTGTGTACCAAGTGTCCATGTGTGTGTGTGTGTGTGTGTGTGTGTGTGTGTCTATTTGTGTGTGTGTAGGAGTTTGTGAAGTTGCAGTCAAGACTTGTGGACCTTTAACCCAAATGCAGCATGCCACTTAATTAGCTTGTCTTGGCCTCAAAGCCTGTAAACGATTTGTCAACAGCGAGTTTTTATTCTTGTTCTTCTTGTTGTTGTTGTTGCTTTTGTTGTTGCTGTTGTTGGTGTGACCTATTGGCCAGGCGGATGCCCACGCAGCATGTAAGCACAATTTAATTTGAAGCACTTTAACGCTGTGCGCCCGGGTCTACTACATTAATGGGTCCATTGTCTGTCCAGAGGCCAACAGTTGGCAAAAAAAAAAAGGTACCCTAAAAAATGGCAAACTCATGAGAAAACCTTTTATTTTAGTTATTTTCTTGCTATTATTCGGTTTTTGCTCATAAGATTAACATTTATTTTATTTTTATTTTCTTTTTATTATACGTTTTTTTTCTCTTTTCTCTGAAAAAAGCAAAACTCATAAGAATAACATTTTATTTTAGTTATATTCTTTTTATTATTAGTTTTTTTTTTTTTGTCTCATAAGAATAACAATTTATTTTCTTTTCTTTATTCGTCTTTTTTTTTTTTTTTGCCACTCAATTTTTATTTTATTTATTTTCTCTGCTGTTTTTATTTTTGGCACTCAATTTTTTTTTTACATTTATTCTCTCTGTTTTTTTTTTATTTTTTATTTTTGTCACTCCATCAAAGTCTTTCGTGCGTTTGGCAGTTGTGCCTAATGGCATTTTCTATTATTTGCCATTTCTCTGTTTATTTTCTTTGCTTTCAATTGTTCTTTTTTTTGCCATTCATTTTATATATTTGGCACGCCTCTTTTGAGGTCAAAGTGCAGCGAGAATAATGGCAATTCAATTAGTTAATAACAGCCGCGCATGTGTGTAGATTTGTGGCCATGTCCCTGTCCCTGAGCTGCAGCTGTGTCGGCCGCCTCCAGCCTCCGCCTGGCACGCCCTCTCCGGCACGTTCATCTGGCGTTCTTTTTTTTTTCGGCGCATTACCGTGTGTGTCCGTGCCTGCGTCCATGTGTCCGGGTGTGCACCCAACATTTGGCCATATCTAAAATATGCAACCAAGTCCTTGGGACACTCGCAGAGTTTTTCGTAATGCCAACTCAAGGCAACGCCAGCTGACGAGCTACCGAGCTGCCGAGCAGCCGAACGACAACAACAACAACAGCAAATACAACAACAAAAGCAATAACAATAACAATTACAACCACAAGAACTAACAATTTTATACGTGCAATCGCAGGTCTAGTATGCAGTTACAAATATATTTTGCACAAACTGCATATCCTTGGCTGACCAGTGTTGCCAACACTCGCTTTAAATAACAAGCCAAATCAAGTGTGAAAAGAAAGCCAAAACAAGCTAAAGTGACAAGAACTAAGTGCATAATTTAAGGACACAAAAAGTAAAAGAGCTAAAGTTTCTTTCAAGTAGATAGAAGAGCCCATCCAAAATTTCCCTTGGAAATTTAAATGTTGCTATTGTCACGCGATAAGCAGGGTTGTCAGTACTTGACATTGAGCTATCATTTAATAAGAATGAAAAATTTTTGATAATATTTAAAATAATATTATCTTAAAACGCAAAAATAATATTGGTCCAATCAGTCCAATTTAGCTAGAAAATTTTAATAATATTGAAAATTGTCAAATTGACAATTTGGAAACTATTAAAATTTAGCTAGAAAATTATTTTCGAAAATATTCAAATTTAGCTTTAGAAAATTTAAACAACATTAAAAATAGTCAAAATTAGCCACCAAATTTCAATAATATTAAAAAAAAAGTCAAATATAGCTTAAAACACAGCTAACTTGGCGGCACTGTTTGAAAACAGTCAAATTTAGCTAGAAAAATCAACAATTTCGAAAATAGTCAAATTTTGCGAGAAACTCCTAACAATTTTGGAAAATGCTAACTTTAGCTCGAAAACAGCTACGCTGGCAACACTGTTTGCAAGTGTTGTGCAACAACAACAAGGCCAATCCCCCTCTCATCACACACACACACACACACACACACAGAGACATGCTCAAGTTAATTGAATGTTGCCTAATTCGCTTCAGCCACGAAAAACATCAACATATCCTGCAAGAACCCAACTAGAACTGGAACTGGAAAGGCGAAAAATTTCTATACATATATATGTTTTGTCAGCAAAATGTCAAGTGACGCCAATTTTATAGACTTTTTCTAAAAAAAAAACAACAAAGTAAAAATACACAACAGCAATAAATTTAATAGAAATATAGATACATATACGACATTAATCCCGGCGCCAGATTTAGCTGAGCATGGCTGTCGGCGGACGGACTCGGAAACGCAAACACAGAAGCCACGCGGCTGGCGACTCGCCGACGACAACAGCAGCAGCAGCAGAGACAGCAGCAACAGCGACAGCAGCAATAACTAACAGCAGCAGCAGCAGCAGGGACACGCCGGCAACAGGGGGGCTGGGCAGGGGCTGGCCCATGCTGGAGCAGCGTGATTTGCTGGAGGATGTCACACAGGGCGCTGGCGAGGCTAATAATTTCACGCATAATTTCGTGGATTTGCAAAATCTCTTGAATTTCAATGATGCTGCCAGCAGCAGCAACAGCAGCAACAACAGCAGCAACAATGTTGTCGGCGTCAGCTTCTCGCCGAGTACTATTAAATTGAGTAACGGGGCCATTACGGACACACTTCTGGGCACCATCTTGACCACGGTAACGGCAACGGTGGCGCCCGCCGCCAGCTCCCTGATATCCAGCCTTACAGCTGCCACAGCAACAGCAACAACAACAACAGCCGCAACAGCAACAAGCAGCAGCAGTTCCCAGCAGTTGGCGGCAATTGGCATGCCCGGCGCCGTGATTGTGGCGGATGCCACCTCGTCCAGCTATTATGCCAGCCTGCTGAACATGTCGCCGGCCACCACGAGCCTGATCACGGCGGCGGCGGCCACCAAGTCCTACAATGACAGCTTGCTGCGCTGGGATCAACTCGATGGCAATGTGGACTTTGGCTTCGATCCGCTTTATCGCCACTCGCTGGCCATGTCCATTGTCTATTGTGTCGCCTATATTGTCGTGTTCCTCGTCGGTCTCATTGGCAACAGCTTTGTGATTGCCGTCGTCCTGCGCGCCCCGCGTATGCGCACCGTGACCAACTACTTCATTGTCAATCTCGCCATTGCCGACATCCTGGTGATTGTCTTCTGTCTGCCCGCTACGCTAATTGGCAACCTTTTTGTGCGTAAGTAACAACTGGGTTTGTATACATACCAGATTTATTCACATACATATATATCAAGAGCTGATTGACCGAATGATTGACTGATTGGCCGTTGGAGCTCTTAATTTTTGATGTACTGACTGAAGGATTTACTCATCTCGCAGCCCTTTTCTTAGACCTTTTGTGATGTAAGTGTTGTCATGACTGATGGATTGACTGATTGATGATCAACACAATATCTAATCCGAAAGATCAATAACTTAAAGTAGTCATATTTTGTTTTGACTGATGGACTGATTGATTGATTGATGATCAACGCACAGCGCAAACTAAAACTCTTGGAATACTATATGACTGATTGACTGACAGATTGACATTGCGCTGGTCCAGCCGTAAGAGTTAGCGAGCTGTCGCCTTCTGATGGACTGACTGATCTACTAACCACCTAATAATCTTGGTTGATTGATTGGTTGACTGATTGATTATCAACACAAAACCCAGCCCACAAGTCCTAGCAAGATAAATTTATGATAGTAGTCATATTTTGTGCTGCAACTATTTGTTTTGACTGATGAACTGACAGATTGACTGATTGATGATCAACGCACAGCGTAAACCAAACTTTGTACACAATTATACTTTCGTGATTCAAGTGCCCACTAATATTGGGTTCCGGAAATTTCTACCCAAAAATGTGGGAAATTGATAGAAAGTGGATGCATGCAACTTGTTGTATATCAATAATAAGAAAGTTGAGAATTCTCACCTACAGTCATAAAAAACATGAAAAACAATAGTTAAGTATGTTTTAGTCGATTTGAAAAACAAGTTAGATAAAAAATCAAAGCCTAAATATTTCACCCTTTCGTAAAATCCACGCACCAACGTGAAAGTGGACACCCAAGTAATATGGAAAATATGAAGAATAACTTTAAATGTGTTGGAAAATAACAGGAAAACATATTTAAATAAACTGCAACAAATATAAATACATGCCACATATACCATATATATACAAATCTGTACGATTTGTATTTCCTAATGGTTGGCCCGGGATTTATTAGCTGCTCATTAGCGCTTTTGTTGGGATCGTCTCGATGTTTTTCTTGTCCTTTTCTTGTTTTCCTTCTTTCCATTTTTTTTTTTGCCGTGGCTAGGCATATTAACCGGATTTATGTTTGGCAATTAATCGAGACGTGGATTAGGCCCGGGGCCAACGCCAACACGTGGCGTATGCGCAATTTGTCGACAAGGAGCATCAAGCTTAACGCTAATGGCTACATAAATACTTCTGGCATACGAAATGCTCGAAATGAACTGAAATGTTCTGAAATATTATCGTGCATTATCATCAGTTTTATGGCCCCAGCCACAGGCTACAATGAATTTTCTCATGCAATTACCATCAGTTTTTACAACCTTGGCAATAATATGGGGGGGCACAGCACGGGAAGGAACTACGTCCGTCTATAATGGGGTTCATCTAGCCAAATCCGTCTCGGCGCTATCTAACTGAAAACTTTGTCATGTTGCACGAAATGCTAAAATCAACTTGCTTTCATTATGGCTTTGCCAAGTTTTACTTTTGTTTTTAAAAGAGAGACACGACCGAAAAATTCAGTACGAGGTTAAAGCGCGACCTAATGGTCGATAAAAGCGTTCGATAGTTCAATAACTTCCGATATCTTGCACAAGAATTGAATGAACTTAATAAATATTATATACGCTCATAAAGGACACTCGTCGAATTGGTTCACAATTCGAGCCTGTGTCATGCCTGAAGGTTCGGTTCATGAACCAGCTTATTCAGGTTTCGGTTCAAACTATTTTTGGAAAAATTCAATTTCTAGATTATAAGATTATAAAATATATATATAATATATTATACACAATAGTTTAAAAAGTAAAGGGCCTTTTCTTTCATTTATGATATTTCCAGATCTCAGCTTCGGTTGATTTTTGAGTGCGATTTAAGATGACAATTTAAATAAAATTAAAATATATCTCAAAATTTCTTTCACATAACAACAAAGAAAATTTGCATAAACAAATTGTTGTTCAAGGAAATCCGGTACTTTTCTCTTTAATATTTAAAATATATTAAATATTTTCAGTTTTTTTCAATTCAATTTTCTTTCATATATGAAAGGTACATTTCTCAGGTTCGGTTGAATTCTGAGTTTGATTTAGGATGAGAGGAAATAACTTTTGAATATTATCGCACCTAATATTCCTAATTGAGCCCAGCTCGAGATAGGACCAGGTATTATGCACATCTACATATATTTGTATATTTAATTAAAGGCCCCTTTTTGAGCCAAAACAACGAGCCACAAGCCAGCCATTTGGCCCCAATAAACGAGGTTACGCATAATTGTGAGGGCTTAATTTTAATAAATTTACATCACCTTGCAGGTAACTGTCTGCCTGTGTGTGTGTGCGTGTTTGGCAAGTGTGTGGCAAGTGAATTGTCAACTGGCAGCTGGTTAAATCGACTGTCACAGAGCGCTTCTTCGGTTGGGAAATTGCATGCAAATCGTCGAGCAAATGATCAAAATCCTTCAGAAATCAAATGCTGATTGCAATGCCTGACATGTCAGGGCAGTACCCACACCCAGTTCTAGATGCACCCACTGCCCTTCGCCCACCTGCCCAGACAATAGTAGCAGCAGCTGCTACCCCAATGTGAATTCACCTGGCCGCATTTAGGCTCTCACAGTTGGCGCCAACGTTTGCCAATTAAGTGCGCTGCCTTAGAAAATGTTCACCAAGACATACAGCAGGGCAGAAAGGTGTTGCCGAGAGAGGTGGGAGGGGGGGGGGGAGTGATAGGGGGGTGGTGGGTTAAGGGTTGCACAGGTCGATGTTGGGGTTGGGTTGGTTTTGGGACTCGCGTAGTAAACGAAATGAACCGAGCAGCAAAAGCGAAGCGAGCGAAAAGCTGAATGAGCTGTGTGTGTGTGTGTGTGTGTGTGTGTGTGTGTTGGAGTGTGCATCAGTGCGCACTCGCGCTGTCTCTCTATCTCTCTCTCACCCTCGTCTGTTTTGGCCTGAAGGATCATCGACACAAAACTGACCTAATTTCACAAATTCAACATAGGCGCAGGGCGGGCCGCGGGCCGCGGGCTGCCCAGCGTTTAGTGGGTCACTCTGGGTGTGTGTGTGTGTGTGTATTGACTTAGGTTGAGGCAAGCTCAGAGCTCAGAGCTCAGACCCAGACGCAGCTGCATAGGCCCTTAAACGCAACAACAATAAATAAATTGCGACAGCCCTTGGGCTATTATTGAATGTTGGCATTTTGACTTGTGGGCGGCAAATGGAAAAAGGAAAATTGCCCAAGCACCCTCTCTCCCTCCACCTGCCCCGCGCATCAAACTAAATGCCAGCAGCTGCGACAGACGTTAAATGAAATGGAATTGAACTTGGAGCTGCAGGAATTATGTTTTCGGCTTAGTTCTTATATAATAAGAAGCAGAAGAGGGGTTAACAAGGGGGAGGGGGGTTTAAGGAGCTATCATTATCTAAGCACATACACACATACACGCACACCTGTGAGGAGCCTCCGTATTGCAGTGGAAGGTTGTTTTGCATTCAAGGACCTTTCAGCTTTGCGGCTGGATGAATTGACCTAAATATTTTGCTCGGCAACCTAATAGTCAGGGTTATATACACACACACCTGTGTGTTACCTGGGCAGGGCTTGATTTATGTATGTGTGTGTGTGTGTGTGTGTGTGTGTTGAAAAACCAATAAAATGCGAAATGAATTGATTTGCCGAGCGGAGTGGCAAAACGCGCTGCCACCTTGAGACACGGCTTTGCATGTCCTTCCCGCCGCATTCTAATTGGAATTTTATATGGCATTTGCTAAGGACTCGATTTTTTTCGCCTAAACCATTTTACAATGCCAAATTGTCGTATTACTTCTCGACTTTTTAAGTCACGTCTTTGCGGCATTTGATTTCTTTGGGCATGACGGTGCGTATGCGTAATGCGGCCTCAGCCCATGCCTCTGCCTCCGGCTGGAGCTTCTGATGAAGTCATTTTCTCTTCACTTGCCAATTGTATTTTAATTTAGCTGCTACGTGTCAGGCAACAGCTCATCGTGCCTGATTGCTTCTGGTTTGCTGCTGCTTTTCAATTTGGCGCCGGACGTGACGCAGCCGGCGATAAACATAACAATAACGCATTTTCTCTAAGTGTTATTCGCCCACCCACCCCTCTCACACATCCATTCACATTTCACGGTCATTTCAAGCGAAGCCACGTCCAGGCAAACGACATTGTCAGATTTGTTCCAACCGATTATTTCATTAACTTTATGTCCTTACCAGAATCCAGCTAAGCGTCGCCAACAATGCAAAAAACCGAAATCCCATTAACTTGGCCTACGACAAAAGTTCGCGCAAAGTTTGCCTCGAAAGGAAATTTAAGAAAATTGATGCTAGAAAAGATAACTTTGGCAAACCGAACACTTGAATACCCTAGCAGCAACATATTAGCTTTCAATTTTCAATCTTTATCAAAATATTCCAAATAATGAAAAGTTTTTAAATCTATTTAGTTAAATCTAAATATTTAGCATGTTCAAGTCTTTTCCTCAGATTTAAAATGGATTAAACGCAAATTTATGTTTTTTAAAAATTAATTTGAAGCTGATCGAAATCGTTTTCCATCCATTGTCCACACTTTCGGGTGGAACTTCGTTCTTACGGGTTTGGCTGTGTGTGTGTTATCAATCAGTCATTAGTAGTCAGTCATTAGTCATTAGCCAATCAGTTAATTAGCTTGAAATACCCTCAGAGAACGGGTATCAGAAAAGTCAAGATGAGAAAACGAAAGGCTTTTTTGACATTTAGCTGCTGGGTCAAGGCGCATGAAAAGCGAAGGCCGCGCTGTTTAACTGGATATATTGATGGGAGTTATCAGCCTGGGCTCTATCAAAGTTAATTCCCTTAAATGTAAACTTAAAGCCAAGTTTAATGGCAGCATATGTTGTCGCCTCAACAAGTGCTGCCCGCCCATAAATTCGAACTGGACTCAATTTGATTGGGTTCAAATTGAAGTTGTGTGAAAAGTTTTTGCGAAAATAAACTTTTGCCAAACGATATATCAAACTCAAGAGCAACAGACAAAATAAATAGCTAGATATTAATAGCAACGGATATCACTTGAATATATCTCTCAGTCTGTTGCACTTGCTGTTCGAAAAGTGGCCAAAATCTATTTAAGCTCCTGTCCAAAGCTGTTAAGTGTGCCCAGATGTGTGGCCTGCGAGTGTGTTGACTTGGCTCAAAACAAAGTTAAGTTCTAGCTCTCTGCACAAATAATAATAATGTTTCTATTTTTATGTGCCAAATCACATTAAATTTGGCTCGGCACACGGTGCGTATGCATAATAAAAAGTCCAAAGCCAAACGAAATAAGACAGGCGAACGAGACACGAGACACGAGACAGGAAATTAGCTGTAGGATTGTCGCTGCCCCTGTTGGTTATTATTATTAATATTTTTATTTTATTTTATTTTATTTTCTTCGAATTTTCCGAGCACATTGAACTCGACTTTGATGATGTGTGTGTGTGTGTGTGTGTGTGTGAGTCCCTGCTGCAGTTGTTGTTCTGTTCTATTAACACCTTTAATTGCCATTCGATTTGCACTGTCATCAACCTTGGGGCCAAATGCCTGGCCCCCCAACCCTCCGCTCCACTGCTCCCCTCCTTGCAGCCCTTTGCCTTGTGTGCGTTTTAGAGCCTTATGTGTCTGACTAAGTTATTTGCTGCGAGCATCAAATTCATAACGCAGCAGCCAACTATAGACATGCACTCGAAGAAAAAACAAAGCACTTGTCTAGGATTACAATATGACCGAAAGGGTATAGTATAGTGTATCCTTTATTCTAGCACAAATATCTATACATATATATACATATGTATATATATATATATTATATACATATATATATATATATATTCAGCCTTGGCCTAAAAAATTAAAATTCCTTTCGATTTTGTGTCTTAATTTTTGTTTCTTCAAGTACATTTTCTTAGAATAAGTTCAGCTTTTAATAAGGCATTTAAGAATTTTGTGCTTAACTCTTTGTTTTTCTCAGAGTGCAATACAACAGGCCGGAGAAAGAGAAAGCGTGACAGAGAGAGAGAGAGAGAGAGAGAGAGTGAGAGAGAGAGAGAGTAATGTACTTCAGTCTAGGATCCTGGAATTTCGGTTTTAAAACAAATGTCAGCTCAGGTTAAGAAATATCTGAGTTTGTTCTTGATTAAAGTACCAAATTCCTGGCTGCTTTCGCAGAGTGTGCATTCCATGGGTGTGTAAGTGTGTGTGTGTGTGTGTGGATGGGTGTCTTTATAGACAGAGACAATCATGTCTTCCATCTTCCATCAAAAATAGAATAAAGGGAATACAAATTAACTTGGCCAGCTGGGGGCTGCCCCTCGCTGGCAAACAATGCCTCACGCTGGCTTCTTGGCAATCTGAGACTTGTCACCAAATTATGAATGATATGCAGCACATAAATCTCAGTCAGCAAACAACGATGGCGACGACGACGTGAACGTGGACGACCAAACCAAAAAAAATAGACAAGCAGAGAAGGCTACTGACTGAGGTCGACTATAAAATACCCTTAAAATACGAACTTATGTTACGTGCGGAGAATTGGGAAGTTTGCAAAGGATGTGTTCGGAGAAGATATTTATATATATATCTAGCTTAAGCTGAAAATATTGGTTAGTAGTAATATTGTTAATAATAATAAAATAAAAGATATCTTAGAAGTCCGATAATTCTAGCAATAACTATATGATCTAGTCGTCCGATGTTGATAAGCCTTGGCTCTATATAAGATCTGGCATATGGAAGATGTAATAATATATAGTTTTAGCTATGTCAAACTCTATGCGTTACACATGACATGCCCAAGCTAAAATACCCTCCTCGAGTGTATAAAAAGCATTGAACGTTAACAGGGACCACAAACATCGTAGTTAGGCCATGAGGAGCACGACGTGGCGTGGACTAGACATAGACATGACCGAGAGTTACTCAGCATAATTTGTGCATTGTTTATATACAATAGATAAACAGCCCAGCCCTTACTTCGTCTTCTTCTTCTTCCATTCCAGCCTGGATGCTCGGCTGGCTGATGTGCAAGTTTGTGCCCTACATACAGGGTGTCTCGGTGGCGGCTTCGGTTTACAGCTTAATTGCCGTCTCGCTAGACAGGTAAGTCCAAAAAAAAGAAATGCAGGTAATATTCTCACAATTTACGTGGCTATGAACTTTTATTGCGGCGGATTTGGGCGGGATCGGGCTGCGGGATTCGGGCATTGGGAAATGGGAATTGGGAATTGGGCTTGGGTTTTCTTAATGATGCACAACGACAGCGGGCGCGGCATGATGCACGGGCACGAGGGGCACAATGGGCTTCACGGCATGCACGGCGACCACGGGCTTGGCGACAACAGGATGCAGGACCTTGACGGGCGCCGGATGATGCACCACATGCCTGCAAAACAAGTGCGTGATTAATGTCGAGTCGAGTCGAGTCGAGTTTTGATAGGCACTTACGAGTGTACCGAGTGGGCGCCATGGTGTATGATCGGGCTGTGCACCACGGCGGGATGTGCGGCAACAACGGGCGTGTGGACAACTGGGGCCACGGCAACTACGCCGGGATGGGCATAGGCCTGGGCGGCGGCAAAGGCGGCGAGCACGAACAGCTGCGTGAGGAATAGCTTTAATTAAGTGCCAGGACGTGGGTCCAGTCCCCCGGAATACTCACAACTTTGAACATTTTGTAGATTGGTTTGTTGGGTTTTTTTTTTGGTTTGAAGTTTGTTGAGAGCTGAGCAAATGATTTGCAACTGTTGCCAAATGTCGCGTCGAGTCGGGCTTTTATAGTAGCTCCGGAGAACTGGCTTCAAGCTAATTGCAAAAGTGATTGCCGCCAAGCTCAATGCAAGCCGGCTGCGACTGGGAAAACTGGAAAACGGGCAGCGAGTCGCCGTCTCAAGATCAAGTTCATAGCTCGCCTTGTCCGTATTTGGCATTAGGCGGCAAATAAAAATATTTAATTTATTTTTATCATTTATTTTTATAGAATGTTCGTAGACTTTGTTGCGCTCGCCTTGTGCCGCATTTTGACACGTTCTCCGTCTAAAGCTCGCCTTGTGTTTCCTGCTCCATAAAAAGCCCGGCCAGGGTGTCGCTCGAGCTCCACTGGGGCATACTCTGTGTCCAGTTGTTCCCTGCAAGCTTTTTCCTTCTTCTGCCACTTCCCTTTTCCTCAGCCTCATAAATATACAAAAATCCTTTCGTTAATAATTGCTCTCTTTGACTTAAAGTTGGCTTCCTAAAATCTGAACTATTAATCTAAAAATTGGCTTTCTTTTGAAATCGATCAGTTTTGAGTGCAAACTTGATTAACTACTTGGTTAACTCAAAGTCCAAGCAGAAAGCTTACAGGTTCTTCCTCTAAAATCGATAGTGAGAGACGGATTAGGAAATTCCATATAGAAAAAGGCGAGGGTCAAGGGTTTTATGAGAAGCATGTGACACCTTGGGGCTGTGTTGATTAGGTTGACTGAGCGTCGGACCAGCAAGCAATAGGTCGCCGGCTCAAATCGAGATTTCAATTGTTTTATTTGTTCATCTTCCTCTTTAGTGGAAAGTGAGTATAATAACGGACCAGCAAGCGATAGTTCACCAGTTCAAATCCAAAAGCAATTTGTTATACCCAAAAACCCAACCAAAGAAGCTACCACAGATTTCTTGACAGCTCAAAGCCAAGCGCATGAAATCAGAAATCCTGCGGCCAGTTGATTTATCAAGTGGTAGTAAAACGTTTTGACAACATTTTGACATGTGTGTGGCGAACAGTCCATGCAGGAGCCATAACAACTGGAATAATCAGAGGCGCCGCTTCATGTGCAGCTTCCATTAATATCAATTTCAGTGGAGGACAGCTTCTCCTCAACCAGTTGTAGCTGCTGCTGTTGTCATTATTCAGCGCCAAAGGCGACAGCCGGGCAGCTGCGGGACATATACTCTATCATTTGATCATTTGGTCAAGCCATGTGCCATGTCCTGTATTCCTTTGTATTTTACGAGCACTCGTAAAGTGATGCGAAATTTAAGATTTATTATCTGCGAACTGAAACTGAAATCAGCACGCAATGTCCTGGATTTAAGCGCTTGACATCCTTGCTTATCACTTGCTTACCCAATGCCATTTAATTAGGGCTCTACGTTTTATGGACGTGCATTGGCATCTCTCAGCCCGCCCTCCCCCCAAAAAATATTATCACAAGACACACACACAGATAAACCCGCATACTTGTGGTCTTATGCCAAGTGCTTATGTGCTTCTTTTGTGTGCGGCAATTTCCATGTGAGTTGCCCAAATGTCAACCATAAAATAATATATAAGCATTAAGTATACTTCAGTTTTTTTGTAATACCCTGTACGCACACAGGCAGAAGTAAATCTTTTGTAGAGCTTAATCTGTCGACTTCAAAGTATTCAGAAAGATCGAAAAGCAGGTTTTTCTATAGCACAAATTAATTAATTATCGATAACTCTATCGTGAAATCGATAAATATCGATATCTGATAATGTCTTGTCATAAATATCAAATAAGCATCAAATTGAGCATGCAGGGATTTCCATACCACTCGTAGCTTAATTATCCTTGTATTATCAAAAAGGAAACGAATTAGAAGAAACATATGCGACACTTTGGGGATATACGTGGAATATATAAGTGCCAACTGTGGGTCCTCAAAATGCAACAACAATCCACGCTTAAACACGGAAATAATTCAAGAGTGAATTCTTCTAAAAGGAACTGCAAGCTGCGATAAATTCATAGCTGGTAGCAGGGTATCTGCTAGTCATGCATTCCTGCGACAACGCAAGGCTGGCTACAGGGTATCTTCGACAACGCAAGGTTGGCTACAGGGTATCTTCGAGTTGTGCATTCCAGCCTAGAGTAGTCTGGCTACTTTTAAGCTCTTTGTCACCAGATGAAAAGGACATAAAAATATTCAGCATGGAGCATTGCTTGGCTGCTTGGCCAATTATGAAATTTGTGAAATTTGTGAAATTTGTTGTTTCTTTATGGAAATGACTTTTGGCACAACAACTTTTCGCCAGCTTCCGTTTGGCCATAATGCCGAACATAAGCTCATATCCAGCTGCAGATCGGACAGGATGGCCATTGTTTGAGCTGAACGCAAAACTTAATTAAGGAGCGCCCAAATCCTGCAGACAAATTATGTTAATGCAATTGCCATATCTATGCGTATATATCTGGCACAGTTCATTGTTGGTCTATAAATAAACCTTATGACAATTTGATATTGGCTTTGTTGAAAAGTTGTGGCCGGGCCCTAATGGAATTACCGTTTGTGCCTGTTATCAGCCAAACGCTCGCCCAGCCAGACGCCAAAGAAGTGGCCAAAAATAGTACAAAGGCAGCCTCCGAGTGGGAATGGTAAGGGGAGCGGCAACGGGAGCTGTAGTTGGAGCCGTAATTATTTGGTTGTAGGGCTGGCCCAGACTGCAGCTCGTCTTCTTATACCCTGGAAACGTGAAGGATGTGTGTGGAGAGGTAGTTTGGCTGGGACCAGCTGTATGTCACAGTCAGAAGTAGGCTCCTTTGATCCCAGCGCATATCTTCCATGTTTAGCCATGTTGATTTTTGAGATAAAGACATGCAATTTATGAGATTGAGATATGCAGAGATATGTAACTGGGCTCGATTCAATTAAATCGATCTTAAGAACGAGGAACAATAAATTAGTCAGGTTGATTTTCGTATTGCAAAAATTGAGCACCGAAGTTATTAAGGAACATACATTCTCTAGAGTGGGGGCTAGACCTTGGGCCTTAGAATTTACATCCATTTGAAAGTCATATGCCATCTGACATAAGGATCGGACAACAAGCACCGAAGTTTTATCAATCTCTGCTCAATGTAGGGTATCTGCCAGTCGAGCCAACTGAATTCCTTGTTTTGTGGCTGGTCTATCGAATGGGGCACCATAATAAGTGGCTAGCACTAAGCCAAATGAAAACCCGCAAGAGTCCTGACCCACCTCCTCCTCCTTATCCCTCCTGCTCTTATTCAAATTACGCTTGATTATGGCAGGCAAAGTAAAAAATGGAGAGCAGGCTCCGCTGGGGGGGATTCGGGGAACGCACACGTGTTGTGTGACGAGTTCAATAGACGGGATTGGAAAGTCGAGTCAGCAGAAAAAGGCTTAAGGATGCGCCGCTGCGATGTGCGAATTAATCAGGCTAAGATATTTGCATGGCTCGTCTTTCACGAAACCGTGGCGTCATCTCGCCATTATCCTTGTCGAGGAGGCGGCAGCTGTTTAAAGTCCTTTGTTGGCACTTCTCTTGCAGGTTCATTGCCATCTGGTGGCCACTGAAGCAGATGACAAAGCGACGTGCACGCATCATGATAATCGGCATTTGGGTAATCGCATTGGTAACCACCATTCCGTGGCTATTGTTCTTCGATTTGGTGCCCGCGGAGGAGGTCTTCTCGGATGCCCTGGTCTCCAGCTATACGCAGCCGCAGTATTTGTGCCAGGAGGTCTGGCCGCCGGGCACCGATGGCAATTTGTACTTTCTGCTGGCCAATTTGGTGGCCTGCTATTTGCTGCCCATGTCCTTGATAACATTGTGCTACGTTCTGATTTGGATCAAGGTCTCGACGCGCAGCATACCTGGCGAGCTATCCAAGGACGCACAGATGGACCGCATGCAGCAGAAGAGCAAGGTGAAGGTCATCAAAATGCTCGTCGCCGTTGTCATCTTGTTTGTCCTGTCCTGGCTGCCGCTCTACGTGATTTTTGCGCGCATCAAGTTCGGCTCGGACATATCGCAGGAGGAGTTCGAGATACTCAAGAAGGTGATGCCGCTGGCCCAGTGGTTGGGCTCATCGAATAGCTGCATCAATCCCATACTCTACTCAGTCAACAAGAAATATCGACGCGGCTTTGCGGCCATCATCAAGTCGCGCAGCTGCTGCGGCAGACTCAGGTGGGTGTCCCTTTAATGTCCTTCATCAATTAACTCATTTGCATCAATCTGGGTTACTCGAAACGACAAGCTGTGCTTGATAAAACATGTTTGATCGAGCCGCAACATGTTCAACGCGAGACAATGCACGCACAAGAAACCGGTTAACTCAAACACAATCGAAATTGTCGAGTTTCTCGATCAGATTGAACCTATTTCCGATTAAATCGAACTTTTGGTCGAGTCAGCCGACTGAGCTTTTTAACTGCAACTAGAACCCACAAGCCCGGGCTTTTGAGTATCGAACATACCAGTGACATATTCGAAGACATTCAATCAATGGAAGTTCGAGCAGCTCGAGCCGCAACATGTTTGACGTGAGTCAATGGACGCACAACTCAAGCACAATCGACATAGTGAAATTTCTCGATCAGCTCGAAAAGATCGATTGAATCGAACTTTTATCAAGTCATGGGTCGATGCATGGCTTTAGTTGATTCATGATCACACAGGTCCGTATTTAACTCCCTTATAACTTCTCCATTTCCAGATACTATGACAATGTGGCCATTGCGTCGTCTACGACCAGCACCAGGAAGTCCTCGCACTATCATCCGAACGGCTCGCGCAAGAGTCCCAGCAGCCCAGGTCTGAGGAAGACCAACGCCGTCTCGTACATTTACGAGCACAACTCGCTGCGTCGCCACAATCTGATGATGAAGCAGGACAGCAATCTGTCGCAGCAGATGCTGCTTAAGCAGGACTCGCACGGCTCACGGCAGTTCCTCATCAAGCAGGAGAGCTCCTGCAGCGACGCCTCCGGCACGCGGCGTCTGCTCTGCCAGCAGGACAGCAACGGCAGCAAGGTGTCGCTCTCCAAGCAGGACTCGATTGTCTCCTACATGGAGTCGCGCCGCGTGGCCGCACTCGCTGCCCAGGAGCGCTCCGTGGACTCGACGCTGACCCAACAGGACACCATATCGATCGAGTCGCGTCGCGGCGGCGCCCAAGCCACGCCCGCATCCCTGCTGGACAAGCGGCAGAAGTTCGTCAAGCAGGATTCGGTCATAAGCTTTGTGGACCAGCGACCGGAGCCGCGCCGCCATCAGCTGGTGAAGCAGGACTCGGTCATCTCGTTTGCCGACCAGCGACGCGGCCTGCTCCACAAGCAGGACTCGCTGATGACCAACCGGTCCGGCGATGCGCCCACACACCATGTCTCCATACTGAAGAAGACCGACTCGCAGCTCAGCTACGGCACCTCCTCCTCCTCCTCCTCCGCCTCTCCCCGCCGCAACGTCGAGCTGTATGAGTAGGCCCCAACTTGGGAATAAATACTTATATCTATCTACACACACACGTACATTAGCCTATAAACTGATCAGATCTTGGAGAGCGGAGCAGCAGGATGAGTGGGGGGAACCGCCTGCGACTGTGATAGAGGTCGGAAACTCAGAGCCAGGCGGGCGCCGGGGCAGGGTTCGGACCAATTTGTTAACGGGTTGGGGCGGGACATAAACAAGAAAACAAGGTTAGCCCAGTTAACTTCGGCATGCCGACGATTTAATACTCTTGCAGACTAGCTAACTAATTTTCAAAAACAAAAGATTACATATTACATTTCTGGTTTTGATATGCGTAAGCCTAGTTCAAGCCGGTTCAATTCGAGAAGCCTGGCTTAAGATACCTTGAATGAGAAAAGGTTAGTTGGCCTAGAGACCACATTGAGCCTTCCGCCTTGTTCAAGCCGGTTCAAACTCAATAAGCCTGGGTTATGATATCTTGAATGAAAAAAAAGTAGTTTATCTAAAAAGAAAATATATATAATAGTTCGATTTTTATGTGATTTCGCTTTCAATTTCAATAGCATATTAAATCTTGTAATTGTCAAGTGAGGTCAAGCATTTTAAAATAGAAAAAACCTAAAACTGATTTTAAAAAAGATAAAGATTTCAATCGAATGTTCCTATATGAAATCCCATTTCGCACGACATACCGCGGATTAGCGCGGGATTAGCTCGCCTGACAAACAAGACAACCTTGGTGCAAAGCCCGTCATAATTGCCGAGATGTCTTTTTGAGACTTTTCGGCGGAGCTTGTCGCCTCAAAAGGACCTCATCTCGCCATAGTCAACGGTGGAGTTAAGTCCTTTCAAAAATAAAATGAACTGGGCGGATTTATGTCATGACAGTAAAAGGAACTGGCGATAAGTACATAAAACTTCAGCCGGATCAAGAGTCTATATGAATATATATCTAAAGTGCTAAGAGATGTCCGTTTCACGTTTTATGACGCTATCGAAATACCCTCTGCAAGTGTATAAAAACACAACTGGGATCGCACACACACACACACACACACACACAAGAGAGAGATACACGCAATGCACCTAAACTAACATAGTTATTAGATGTTTTATACGTGTTCCAATAGTTCTACACACACACACACTCTCACAACTCACACACACATACCCTGTACATTCGCAGTTTTTAAGATTGTTTGTACTCGTCATATTTGCTATATATACCGAAACGCAGCCTGCTTAAAAGAAATACTTGAGTCTTGAGCGAGGGAGTGCAGTTTTTTACTAGTCAAGGGAGAACCCAGCCCAAAAAAAAAACTTGGGACTTGGGCCCGGCTAAAAATTTTCTACGAAAGCGAAGAGTGAAAAAGGAATGTCCAGTATCAAAGAACAAATTTGAGAAACACCGAGGTCTAAAGTAACGTACCTACTAAATTTTTGTATGAACAATTCTTACAATTTATATATATACAATGCATGCATATATATGTATATATATATATATTTAAAAAAAATATAATATATATTTGTATTGATTTTGGAATAAGCAATATATATGTATTACGTATCTATCAAACAACAATAATCAATTTTATTAGAGTTTTACACAAGCCGAAACGAGAGAAACGAGAAACGAAATCGAATTGCGACATTAGAGTTATAGAGATATAGAGATATAGGGGTTGATCAGCCGGATATAGTTACGGCTAATTCTCGGGGGGGGATGTAGGCATTACGAAGCGCACAAAGCGGCAACAGTCGACCATGGAAATGTTTACGGGGGCAGTTGACAAAATAATATATATAAATATATATATTTTTAATTTATTTATGCTTGGTTGGGGTAACAACATGGGGAGGGGGGGGGGGGGGGGGGGGGTCATAGGAAGGCAGGTTGAGGAGTTGAAATAATAATAAATATAAAAATATATATTTTTAATTTATGTATGCTTGGTTGGGGTTAATTACTCTTAGGGGAGGGGAGGGGTAGGCACAGGTAGACAGGTGGAACAAGCTGTCCGAGCATTCGCACTAAAACGTATCACTAATAAAAAAAAAACAATAATCGAAAATCGAAACATAATTCGTTAAGTTCTAAACACCAAAAGAAATTAGGAAAACGTTAACGATAAAAATTTTAATAAATGACTAACAACTAAGCTATATATATATATAAACAAACATATGGAACTACAAACATATACATATATATATGTATAGAAATATGAATATACCTAATGACAACTATGCAATTTTATTGTTAGCCAAAATTTTATAAATGTCAAGTAATAACTGTAAACGAAACATTTATATATTATATAAATATATATACTATATATGCGTATCAAGTTCAAAAATAAATTATACATAGCATTAGGCGCTGTTTTTGGCACGCTTTGAAAACAAAACAAACAAAAAATGCCATAATTTTAACCAGAATTTAGTTTAAACAAAAAAGAATTGAGACCAACCCGAGTTGGCCCAGCTTCAAGCTTCAATAAACCCAATATTATCAGATATACTAACAATTCCCAGCGTCTAGAGCGTGGCTACAAAATGCAAACTAAGTAACAAAACAAGGCCCACAAAACATTAACAGAAAATATCAATAAATTATAAATATATATATAAAAATACATAACATATATATATTATATAGATGTATAATAACGGTTGATTCATGCAGTACACCTGTCCATTCATTATTTACAATTATTATTTTAGCAATATTTTTTTAAATTTATATTTTATATTTATATACTCATACTACACATTTATCTATGGTCATAGATACTATTAGAAGTTTTTTAATTTCACATAAAATTTATATATATATAAAAAAGAAAATATTTACAATATAAGTAATATTTATCGAATAAACGAATTGAACTATAAGTTTTAAAATTACAATAAATTCAAATATTAGATAAAAAACGTAAGAAAACAATTCAAGCGAGATTATGTTTAATATTATTGTGTGACAAAAATATAAACAAAAAAATATAAATTCAATATGTTATCAAGCTAAACAATATGCATATATAATGACATCAATAGCATACATATTTATTTATATATACATATATATATATATATATAGAGGGAGATATGTATATGAGATACAAATAACACCAAAGATACACGCATATTAGCAGAAATAAATGTAATACATTATTATATTAAACAAGAACAAACTCCTTGACTTTTTACTTTTTGCGTCTGTGGCATTTTTTTGAGTGTAAAATAATAATATTGCCAGAGGGCGAAACTTTTTCTTTTTTTAAATGATTTAATTTGTTAAGGGCTTTTAAAGCGCCGAACATAGATTATGCCGAGTATGGTTAAGATATCTGGAAAAACAAAAAGTTGTTCATACAAGTTAATTTTCGACCGATTGTTCGTATGGCAGCTATATGATATAGTAGTCCGATGTTGATAGGATTTTGCATATACACGAGGAGCATAGTAAAACTAATAAATGCCGAGTTTGGTCAAGATATCTGAATAAACAAAAAAGTTGTTCATACAAGAACCTACTTTTCCGACATATGTACTGCGTGCGGACATGGCTAAAGCGACTCGACTGTTGATACTGATCAAGAATATATATTTACTTTATGGGGTCTGAGATGTCTCCTTCTATGCGTTACCCATTTCACGACAAATTATAATACCCTCTGCAAGGGTAAAAAAAAGGTAGGAGATAAAAGATATTTAGTGTATATATGAGGATAGGTACTATATTTATTTTTAATTTAATTTAATTTAAAGTATAGTATAAACTAAAATGTACTGCGAAGAAGTTATAAAAACAGTTTTTGTTTATGCACAAGTTGGGCTAGACTCAAATTCCGGACAGCTGTTTTTTTTCCAGGTGTATAAACACCTGTGAGATTTTGATTCTCCCCATCGTTATCAGCACTTCTAATATTTTTTTTCTGTTAAACTCAAGCGCATAAAGAGCAATCATTTGTCGACGAGACTTCTTACGTAGCTTGGGGACTTTAGCTAGAACAATAACTATTTTGTTGAATATGGATCGCTGGAGAAATCGCGTCGCTGTTGTCACTGGCGCCAGCTCGGGAATTGGCGCCGAATGTTGCAAGCATCTGGTTGCAAGGGGCATGATTGTTGTGGGCCTGGCACGTCGTCTGGATCGACTGGAGCAGCTGAAGGCTTCGCTGCCTGCCGAACAGTCTGCACATTTTTATGGCCACCAGTGTGACGTGAGTGTTGAGCAACAGGTGATTGATTCGTTTGCCTGGATCGATGAGACTCTCGGCGGTGCGGATGTGCTGGTGAATAATGCGGGTATTGTGCGCCGCATGCACATAGTCGACGAGGGAAACAGCGCCGACCTGCGAGATATATTAAATACCAACGTATTGGGCGTTACCTGGTGCACACGCGAGGCCTTTCACTCGATGCAGCGACGTCGGATAAACGATGGACATGTGGTTGTTATCAATAGTGTTGCCGGGCACGGAGTGCCTGTGAATCCTGGCTTCAGCTTCAACATGTACGCACCTTCGAAGCATGCTGTCACTGCTCTATGCGAGGTGCTACGCCAGGAGTTCCTGAATAAGGGTACCATGACTAAGATAACGGTGAGTACTGTTGTGTTAATTTTAATATTAAACCTTAACCATTTAAATACTCCGTAGAGCGTCAGTCCAGGCATTGTTGATACTGAAATTTTTGACAAAAACTCACCGGAAGTGCTGGCATTGGCATTTTATGCCAATGTTACGTCCCGAGAATGTGGCCGATGCGGTCACCTACTGTATCCAGACGCCAGCCAACGTACAGATTCATGAGCTGATTATAAAGCCGTCGGAGAAAGATTCTAGAAATTCTCAAAATATACCAAACAAAAAAAAAAGGTGCTCGCACGAAAATAACATATAAATGAGGAACATTTTTGTTACGTATTGAAATAGTGCGCCGCCTTAATCGATAAAAAAAAAAACAACTGTTGCGCACATTGAACGCCAACGATTAATTGTGCACGTTAATCGATAGTTTCACATGCCGATGTTTCATTAATAGCATCGATAACATTTGCCAGCAGTCGTAGTTCGTGTCGGGTATTGTTTTTATTTTTATTAATTTGTAACATTTCATCTGTTAATTGCTTAATTGGTCGTTGTTAAAAGTATTGCAATAAAAAGAGCGAAATATTCTTTGCCGTGCGCATAACCGCAGCGGTTCCTTGTGCCTTCGAAAGCTAATTAAATTACACAAAGACAAAGCATCTTCTTGTCTGTGTCGACGTCATTGCTATTTTCGTACAAAAACATTCTTTTACATACATAATGGAACAACAGCAAAAACAACAACAACAAGTGGCGCCTGAGGTGGCTGCAGCAACCGCAGCTCTCGAGGAGGAGCAACTGGACATTGAGGACAGCATGAAGCATTGCTTTGAGAACCTCATTGTCATCGACGTGGGCGCCAATTTGACCAACAAAAAGTATAGCCGTGATCTGGATTCCGTTGTCCAAAGGGCAAGAGACGCAGGTTTGTTCATAAATCGAAAAGAAAACTAAACAAGAGGAAGAAGTGCGATAAGACTAATAATAATACATGACAGCTGCGTTGGGCGCGGCAAGTGGTCAGCGAGAGCACACACACACACACACACGCATTAAGAAGGTCAAGCGTTGGCAGAGGGGCGATTAGCATGCAACATGTGTGCGTGTGTGCGACGCACTTGCGCGTGTGTGTGTGTGTATGCATTGGTATTCGCCGCCTCGCCTGCATATGTGTAACTAATACAGTGAAAGCTCTGCCTGGGACAAATATCTCCTTTGGCTGGCCTATTTTTGTAGTCGCATTTGGAATACCCTATAAGAAGGTTGATCGGAAATTAATTCATTAAAAGATCATAAATGAAACTGAAAAAAGCGATTGATTAGCTCCTTAAATCCAGCTGTGCCAGTTTAAAGAACCTTAACTGTAAATAATCCTGCCTATACGAATATATGCTCACCTTTATTGTCTCTTACAGGTGTTCAGAAATTAATGGTACACGGCACTTCGGTCAAATCGAGCAAGGAAGCGCTGCGGCTTTCGCGCATTTATCCCGACATTATATACTCGACTGCTGGCATACATCCGCACGACTCAAAGTCCATTGTGGAGGAGCCGTCCACATGGTTCGACTTTGAGCACATTGCACAGGCGCAGGAGTGCGTGGCGATTGGTCCGTGTGGCCTGGACTATCAGCGCGACTTCTCCGAGCCGGATGTGCAAAAACAGATATTTGCCAAGCAATTGCACTTGGCAATACGTCTGAAAAAACCTCTGCTAATACACGAGCGATCGGCTCAGCACGATGTACTCGAAATACTCGACACGTGAGTGGATAAAATATTAGTAATTAGTTTGATTATAATATGTTGCTCTCAACCTTTGCAGATTCGAGAATCTACCGCCTGTGATTATCAGAGGTTTTATGGGCACAGCCGAGGAAGCACTCAAGTATCTGGATCGCAGATTCTACATCAGCTTAACTGGTTATCTGTGCAAGGACAAGTCAGATACAGGCGTGCGCCGGCTGCTCGACAATGGCACCCTGCCACTGGACAGACTGCTGGTGGAAACCGACGCGCCATTCATGTACCCAAATACGAGAGCCTCCAAACTGCCACAGCATGTAAAGAGTGGCATTACAGAACGCTCATTGTTGTACTTACACAGGTGGGATTTGGAATTGAAATGCTACCCATTGAAAATGGTGAAAAGGGTAGATTGATTTCGTGCAAATGTATGCAGCAGGCGGAACGAGACATCTCCGACCCCATAAAGTATATTTTTGATCGACACGATGAGCTGATGAGATGGTTTATCTAGCTTAAGCCTAGTCCTTTGGCATTTAGAGCGTCATATTCAGACCCTGTCCATTTCATAAAGTTTGGAATCGCTTCCAAATCAGGGTACCTCCTAGTCGGGCATTTCCGATTAGAACACTTGCTATTTTTGTTTAATTTATATTCCGCATTTCAGATATTGCACCTTTCAACGTAATGAGCCGTGCAGCCTGCCGGCAATTGTGGAAATGATTGCTGCCTTCATGAAGAAAACGCCGGATGAGGTCGCCCTGGCCACTGCCTTCAATGCCTTAAAGCTGTTCGGCTTGTCCTAGATGGTGCCCAGCACTTTAAGCAATTTAAACAAGCCTGAGATTCACGACAGACTCACATCATGTGCCTTATAACCTAATCGAATTCAGGATGTGCTAAACCCTGACCCAAAAACACATACATACACACACACGAGCTATACCCATACACAACTACGACGCATTCGCATGCGACTTGCAAGAAAAACCTCCCTCCTATTTATACTGTTAGTGCGAATTTTTGTTCTGTCTTAATTTGCAAAGGTAGCTTTAAGTTGTTGGTATTCCGTAAGTAAAGCCTTTGTTTACTTTGTACTAAAAAACAAATCGGTGCCAAGGTGGTGCCAAGTGAAGCGCGGTGCCGGGTACGCAAAATTAATTTGCACCTGCTGCCGTTTCACACTGCGAAGCGCGCGCTTCGTGACTGTTAAAAAAGCTGCAGCTATATACATTATTGTTTAATTTTCAGATACAGATATTTTGTCTTTAGTTCTAAGGTTTATTTTAGCTAGGGCACCTTTTTTGTATACCAACCTATTTAGTCTCTCGTTTAGTTTTGTAGTGCATACTTTTGTAAATATTTATATTTGTTGTTCGTTGCGGAGGAGATTGATGATGACGGTAATGATTATTATGGTAAACGTGATGTGATCATATTATGAGCTATATATATATATTTATATACTATTCAACAACACACATTTAGCTAGTGCTATGCTAATACATACACTATATTTTGTTATATTTACATATTATTCAAACATATGTGATGCTCTATACGTTGTACTGAACTGATCAACAAAACGGAGGTGCATGAAAACCCCAAACACACACACTATTTTCCATTTGAATACAAATAAAGCGAATTTAAATAAAAACTATAAAGAAGCATTTATACATTCTTCCTCTATATATCTAGATATATAGCAGCTGTGCGATATGTTTCTATACTTAACTTATATTTATATAATTCATAAAAAAAGCTGAAGCTATGATGGCTTCTACATATGAACTGCCTGCAAAGAGTTTAAGCACAGACTAGATAGACGAAAGAGGCTACATCGACTGGGCCTTTAAGAATATATGGTATAGTACTTTATGATGTTGGCAATGTCCACTTCGCTGGCTAAGTTATAACAAAACTGAGGTTCCACATAGATATTTTTGGCTTGATTGCAACAACTTGCAGCGTCTGCGAATGTGTATTGTGTTTCGATTTCTCAGAAGCGTTGTATATTTTGCAAGTCTTCGAACTGTTTTAGTCTATGCAAATTGTCCCACCATTGTTTGAGCCGATGACGCAATATTAGAGCAAACCAGGGGGTCAAGGGTGCACTAAATTTGGCTATCGCTTCGTCGATTTCGTTGCGTTTCAAGTAGCGCACCTCGCTGACCTCGTTGGCATTGGGCTTCAGTGTGACATCCTTTTGCAAGAAGAGTATATAGTCAATCTCATGTTCTCCCCAGACGCCGTCGCCTGCGTCGGCATAGTGTATGCGCGTCAGATAGTTAAAGTTCTCGGGCTTTATTTCATCTGGGGGTATTCCCAGTTCGTAGTTCAAACGGCGTTGAGCCGCCAAACGTATGCCCAGGGCGTTCGACTCCTGTCGCTCCTGCTCAATGTCATGCAAGGGATGGCTGCAGCAGGCATTCGTATATGTGTCTGGAAAGGTTATCTGCAATGGAAAGTTTACTTGATATCCAAAGAATCTAGCTGGAGTTCACACAAACTCGCACCTTGTGCACGGAGCGCCTTTGTACAAGCATCTCGCCCTTCGAGTTGAACAGAAACACACTGAAGGCGCGATGCAGCTTCACGTCACCCGTTCCGGGCTGCACACGATGGCAGTCAGCCTTGCTGGCAGCGCCGATGGCCTTGTCGTGCTCGTCGACCAGAATGCATTTCTCTTTGAGGGCGTGCGCCTGCAAAGGATCGTGGATTTCGAAGTCTGCCTGTTTCGGTTGGCCCAATGATGTGGTGCTGCATTTGCGCAGTAACTGAAAGCACGGCCAGAGGTTCAAGCGCGACGTCAACATTTTTCGGTAATTGAGGTGTTAATGACTAGCTTCAAGTTGGGCCTAAACAAATATAAAAAAAGTGAAAACTTCGTAATCGTATTCAAGAATGGCGTTGCCAACTGACGTGTACATTCGAGCAATATGCAACACTGATCCGCTTAACAGCTGTTTGCTGCAGCAGCCCTGGCAATAGTGATACACATTTGTTCATAATCAGTTTTTTCGCTGTGTTCATAGCTGAAAATTGTAAATAGCCGAGTAATTACTTAAGTAATTACCCACACACATACTGTAAAATGGTAAGCATAATGTTTACCACTCCGTTGAATACAAATAATATTGTTTATCACCCGCTCAGATACGATTTATACTCATACAAAACCGTGCGGGCAAAACTCGCTTGGCCAAGTGGTATATGAACTTTGATGACGACGAAAAACAAAAATTAATTGAAGAAGTGCACGCCGTAGTCACCGTGCGCGATGCCAAGCACACCAACTTTGTAGAGGTAATATGGGTAGCATGAAAATATATATCCCAATACATATACTAACTAGTGCTCGCTTCACAGTTTCGCAATTTCAAAATTGTGTACAGACGCTATGCGGGTCTTTACTTTTGCATCTGCGTGGACGTCAACGACAATAATCTGTGCTATCTGGAGGCCATACATAATTTTGTTGAGGTGCTGAACGAGTACTTCCATAATGTGTGCGAGCTGGATCTCGTCTTTAATTTCTACAAAGTGTATAGTGTGGTCGACGAGATGTTCTTGGCTGGCGAGATACGCGAAACCTCACAGACAAAAGTGCTCAAACAGCTGCTAACGTTGAACTCATTGGAATAGTGGAAACGCAGGCATATCCACCCACTAAAACGATGCATTCCCCCATAGCCCGCTTATCGAATCCTCATATAATATTATGTACTATTTATCTACATGTGTTCTATATGCAAGCAAAACAACTCTAAAATGTTAAATGATGTGTTTAGAATCAAATAATTTATGATAAGAGATTATTGCAAATGCATATATTAAAGAATAATCCAATAAGCTTTACTGATAAATGAATAACTATATACTACATGCAAACAAGCGGGCGGATGTACACATATATGTATGTATGTACGTTTGTAGGTGGTTACCGCCCACAAAGCGGAGGTTGCTGATAGCAGTGGCTGATGCAGCCCTGGCCGTTGCGTTTAACAACACTGCGCTGGCACAACTGACGACACTCTACCACACTACATGCCACTTCGTCATTTTTTCAGTCGCCATTGTTCTCGTTCTCGGCTGTCGAATTTTGTGGAAATTATCGAATTTCCCTTAAATTCGTTGCAATAAATACAAATAGAAGTTAGAAAAATAAACAATTTTGGAGTACACAAGTGCACAGTGCGCGTTATTTCGTAACAAGAGGCCGCCAATCGAAATTAGAGACACCCGTCAGACGACTCGCCAGTTAACGAGCAGCTCAAGCGAAATCGAATATTTCGTTCGTGGCAAAAAAAAAAAAAAATAATACAAACTTGAACAAAAATCCAAAACGAAAAACATGTCATCTATGAATCCAGAATAGTAAGTCGTTCACATGCATTAATTGCGCGTAATTGAGATATTCACTCGAACAATGAAAAACCTTGCACTCATCCGCGTTCCATAACCCAGCACTGGTCACCTTTTTCTCTTTTTTTTTTCATTCTTTTGCGTTTCTGCGACGTCATTTTTGCGACGTCCACGACGACTTTTCAGTAGTCACCGCAGCCCCACACCCTTTAAACGAGTATTTAAAAAAAAAAACAACACAACATACGATTGTAGTACGTTTGCGAGTATCAAAATTTGGATACAACTATAACGGTTATATGATGTGTATATAGTATACAAATGTGTGTATGTATGTTTTTCATTAATTGTGCAGCAATTGGAGAAATCCAAGTTCTCTCTGATTGGATTTTGAGTAACGGCAAAGTTGCTGACAAGTCAGCCCTTGCCTAGGCTTCAGTTCTGCGCTGCTATTTTGCGGGGCGGATGAGTCACCTGCCCAGCGTCCTCAACCCCCTCTCTGGCGTACACTTTGTTGTTGTTTGACTGCTTAACGCTGCGTCGTTGTTGTGTTGTTCTCGGCTGCTGCCGCTGCTCTGCTGCTACGTAATCAAATTCCCGTCTATGTTTTATGTTTTCTTTCACTGCAATTGAACTTGGAATACTTGAAGTCTTCCTCTTCATCAATCGTAAATAATGCAGTGAAAGTTGCTTGAACGAAGCTCTCGCCAAGTTTTAAAGTTCTAATTAGATTCCTTTAGCTAAGAAGCCGAAAAACAACTTTTAAAAGGAAAACATCTGTGAAGTATCCCCACATTTATTGATCATAATTATGCAGAGAAATATGGAAAATAATAAACGAATAAATTCCTCCCTTAACTTTCGTTCAAACGAGTTAACACTGTCTATGCAGCTGCATTAGCATTAGCCCCATAGAAGGGACCTTCCAGATTAGATGTCAAACAATGTGTATTAGCAGGTTGTTTCGACTGGGTTCGTGATAAGATAAACAAATTCGTGACGCGCATTTTAAGAGCGCGATATGCTGGTGGAAATATGGCTTGAGTAACACGCACATTTTCTTTCTATTTACAGCGATTATCTTTTCAAACTGCTGTTGATCGGCGACTCTGGCGTTGGAAAGTCCTGTTTGCTGCTCCGATTCGCCGATGATACATATACAGAGAGCTATATCAGCACAATTGGCGTGGACTTTGTAAGTGCCCAACCTATCATCTAGCCATAAAACTGTGACTCAACAAAGCTGTTTTCTCCTTTACAGAAAATTAGAACTATAGAATTGGACGGCAAAACGATTAAATTGCAAATTGTAGGTTGTCGGTCAAGAGAGAGAGAGAGAGAGAGATATATTCATATATATACTAAATCCCGTTTCTGTTTGTAGTGGGATACTGCTGGACAGGAGCGCTTCCGTACCATCACATCATCATATTATCGTGGCGCGCATGGCATCATTGTTGTCTACGATTGCACGGATCAGGAGTCCTTCAATAATGTCAAGCAATGGCTGGAGGAAATCGAGCGATATGCATGCGAAAATGTTAACAAGTTGCTGGTGGGCAACAAAAGTGATTTAACCACCAAGAAAGTTGTCGATCATACAACAGCTGCGGTGCGTGCGAACCATCCACTCTTTTTATATTTCTTTTTATATATACTCTTCATATATGACTGACTCACTGTCCGATTAATGATCAACTAAGTTGTTTATCGTCCGATCGATCCGTCTAATTCATGTTCAAGAATTTGTTTAAATTCATGCGAAAGCCGTTTTCACACTTGAAACGCTTGTTTAACATTCGATAGGCTTTAAGTTAATTTTTAAAGTACTTTGTTAAGATTTGTATGAGACATGTTTTGCACTTAGTGCAATGTTTACTTCTCTTGTATAAAAACTGCGGGTCAAAGGTAGTATGAACAAATGTTAAGCTTTATATCTCGAGACTAAAATGAACGGAAATAACTGATCTCAACTTTTGTTACTTAATGCGATGGACTTTACACTCTAGCTCAAAATTGTATGGGTAGATTAACCTTTATAACAAGCCAGAAATATGTAAAAGTGTATAGCCGAGAACTATTATATATATTTATATAGCTTTGTCTTTAATTAATGTATTCAAACTTTGCATTTGCAGGAGTACGCACATCAGTTAGGCATTCCATTCCTTGAAACTTCGGCCAAGAGCGCCACCAACGTGGAGCAGGCATTCATGACGATGGCGGCCGAGATTAAGAATCGCGTCGGGCCGCCGTCCAGCGCCACCGATAATGCTAGCAAAGTGAAAATCGATCAGGGTCGTCCAGTGGAGAACACCAAATCTGGTTGCTGCTGAATAACTCTGATTGTGAATCATTATTTTATTATACAATTAAACAAAATTTAAATATAATAAATTAAAACGATACAAAAACACGGCAAAAGTAAACGATGAAAAAAGAAAAAACATCCACAACAATAATAAAACAAGCAAATCGTAATTATAAAAAACAATTGAATTATATAATAATAATAATGATGCGTATTGAAAAGAGTATGAGAAGTTCGTTGCGAAAGCGCGCGCAATTCAAGTTCAACTTTGTGAACAGCCACACACACACACACACAGATATAACACACAGGATATACTGATATGTACTACCCCCCTTAACCCCTCACCCGTACCCCTTTGACTTTCCTTTTGTTTTTCTATAGTTCTGTTCATAAGTAGTGCAAAGCAAACAACAACAACAAAATGGTGTAGTAATTAACTTAATCTAAATTTAATCTAAACTTAAGAGTTACTTACCACAGCAGCGCGAACCGATAGCGATAACGATAGCGATACCGATACCGATTACTATTAATACTTATATGCATAAACAAAAACAAAATGAAAATGAAAATGAAAAACAAACAAAAATAAAAACCAAACAAAAACTGCGTTTATTATAGCCCAGATTCAATCCCGGCACCGAACCGAATTATATATATATATAATACTATTTCATTCTTCAAATCATATCTCACTTCTATCTGTCATATTGTAATTATTATATAAATCAAAAGAGAAAACCCCCATTATTTAGAATTAAAGAGAAAAACGTTCAGTGAAAAAGAGAAAAACGCGTAGGACTTGTTTAGGCACATAAAATAGTGTAATTTTTGATGATGGTAATAAGATAATGAGAAACGTTTAATAAAAATTACTTGAACATAAGCCACACGCATGTTTATGGTCGGAGCAACAATCAACATTTTTCTGCTTGCAAATAAGATTAACAAATTATAAGCATTCAAAATTGCTCCTCCAGTTGCCTATAAGATTGGGCCTTAGCTAAGACATGTACTATATATTCACACACAAGCCTGGACTTCCAATGATATTACTAATAGATTAAAAATTATTAGCAATAGATAAGCAAAATCATTGCTACTATATTAAAACATTAGCAGGGACTCCTAACCCCGGAGCTCCTTAATTGCCAAGCTGATTGGGCCTTTAGCTTGGACATATACCTTTTTACACATTAGCGTGGGCTTCTAATTACATTACTAATAGATTGAAAATTATTAACAATAGATAAGCAAAAAAATTGCAACTACATTTAAGCACTAGCAGGGGATTCGAACTCTGAACCTCCTTTCTTAATTGTCTAGCTGACTGGACCTTTAGCTAAGACATCTACCATATTCACGCATAAGCCTGGGCTTCGAATAATATTACTAGATACAAAATTATTAGCAATAGATAAGCAAAACAAAAATGACTACTTAACCTCCTTTATTAATTGCTTATATCTGGACCTTTCTAATACTTTCACACATTCAGCTAGGACTCGAACCTCCATCCTCCATTGTACTGGGCCTTTAGCTAATACAGCTACCATATTAATGTTCTCTCTTAGAGCTGGAACTCTACGGTTGCCTTGCCACAAAAAAGGCCAGCATGATTTTTTACTTTGGTTTCCAAAAACGAATCTTTTCTAGCGTTTATTGACTTCTTCTGAGGTACTTCAGTCTTTACAACAAAATTTCATCTATTAACTATGACTATGGACTAAATGTGTGTGCTGCCGGAATTCAACTAAATACCATTTTTTGCTGTGCTCAGATTTTGCTGGCGCGTCGCTCCTGCAGATAGGCCGTGGTAACTGTCGCCGCCGTTGTGCCAATTATGGCAGCTCCAAGGGCGCCGCGATCCCGCTCCCGCTCGCCCAGTCCAAGGGACGTGGAGAGGCTGTTGCTGCGCCAGGTGGAGGAGGTGTTGCGCTCGGTGCCCGATGAGGTCGATATGGAGTTGATCAGAAAGGTGGCCTCCCGTCGCAACGTGCGTCGCGGCCGCTGAGCATTGTCCGTGCCCGGCACAGCCTCCGCCGGCTCATGATCCTGCCTGCGCTGCGTTTTCCGCAGACTGCGCTCGGCGATCGTGGGATAATGATGATGATGGCGATGATGATGCGGCCGGCGACCCAAGCAGCTGAGCAGCAGCCGCCAGAAGCCGCTGCGAAACTTGGACGACATCAGATTGTAGAGTATGGGATTCATGGCCGAGTTGAGGTAGAGCATGAAACGCGAAAAGTACAACAGATTGTAGTAGCCGGCAATGCCCAGACGCTCCACATCCTCGCTGCTGGCCGTTATCACCCACAGCGTAAAAGCCCGGAACGGCAGCAGGCAGACAAAGAAGCTGGCCACCACCGCCACCAGCATGAAGATCACCTGCTTGCGATGCCGCCGCATGCCATTGCTCTGCTGATGGCTGTTGCCCTTGTTGCTGGCTGCCGTCGCAGCCGTCGGAGTCGGCCCTTGCGGCGAGGTGGGCCTATGGAATGCACTGTTCGGGCGCAGCAGCTTGTACGCAATCGCGGCGTACAGCAGCAGCAGGATGCCAAAGGGCAGAAAGAAGAAGAGCGTTATGGTGCCCACAAAATAGAAGATGGGCCAAAAGCCATCCGCGGCCGTGGTGCAAACTGGCGCCTCCGTCCCGTCCCCATATGGCTCCACGCTGTAGCTGGAGATGGCAATGATGGGACTGCAAGAATTATAGTCAAATATATATATATATAGAAATACACAAAGATGAGCTTTTAATGTCGCTTGTCTACAAAGTTTGAGCATAAAAAAAAAATAGAGTTCAATGTTTAAAAACTATTCCAATTGAAGCAGCACTCAACCTAATCAAATTACCAGAACGGAAACGGAAACGTCTGCTCTACAAATATATGTACACATATATACACGAATTTTGTGTGATAATAACTACGTTGTATTACGGTCGAAACTTTTCAAAAATATACAAAAGAATGTAAACAATTTTACTTAATGGTACAGTGAAAGCTCGCTGAAGTGGTTGCGGTTTTATTAAGGGTCATTTTGGCTGAAGAGATTATTTTTCAAGAAATAAAATGAAAAGGAAATGAATATGTCGAGTACATAAAGTACATTTTAACTATATAGACTGGAATTCAAAAAATTCAATTCTAAATTCTTTCTTAAACTATCGCACGAGTTCAATTTGTTTAATTAAAATTAATCCGATTTTTAAACGATTTGTTGGGATTGCAAAAAACCCAAAATCTAAATTTTAATCAAATTTAGCATGGCAAATAATGTTTTAAAAAAAATTAAATCTCAACTTTCTTAAAAGTTAGTTTAAAGTTTGTCATTTCAAAATTAAAACAGCTAAAATAAACATTCGCCCAAGACCAGCTGTTCGTTCGCAGAGCTTTCACTGTGCCTGCATACAAACATATTTACAATTGTTGGTCAGATTCTTATCAGAAAAGAAAATCAAATCAGAAAACGCTTTGCATCTGATTAAGGTAATGTCTTGAGTTGTAATACAAAAATTATTTATTTACTTACAAATTGGGCGCCTCTAAGTAGATATACAATGTAAATACATGTTTGCGTGGGCATATACATATATATATATAAATATTTATTAATATGTGTGTGAGTGTGTGTGTGTGTGTTACATGCGAGCTATGCATTTTAGTTTTGATTTTTACTCGGCCGCCGCAAAGTAGGCAACACTTTTTTGCTGCTGGCCGCCATTTTGGCAAATGGACGATAGCAAACTCTGCGAAAAGAAACTGCGCAGCAGAGAGAGAAGCAACAGAAACTATGTATTTCAATACAACTAAATCATGTTTATCCGTCGTCTTGATGGGCTCACCAAAGCGCATATAAAGCCATTTCCATTTGCCGTGCTTTACATGCCAGTTAATGGACGACACCCCGACCCCGCCCATGCCGCACTTCCCCACAAATAGTTGTAGTTGTTTTTGGTGCTTTGGCTGTCGCTGCTGTTATTTATCTTTGGCACATTCATTCGAGTTTAATAGCCCGAAAAATTGATTGTTTTTTGGTTGTGTGCGGATATGTCCAAGGATTTTGAGCTTGGGTCTTGTCAACGGCCTGAATGGCATCGATTACGGGCTTGGCCAGGATCAGCTGAGACTGTCGGCCGGCCGCATTCCAATCAACTGAAGCGTAAGTGTAAACGGGTTACACATGATTTTTCATTCCGTTCCGCTTCCGTCTCGTGGTCCTTCTCCTCGTCCTCCCCCTCCTCCTCCTCCTCTGCCTGGACCTGCCTCCAACTCTGCCCGGACTTGTCTCCCCCTCTGCCTGGACTTGTCTCCGGCTCTGTCTGTCATTATGCGATTTGCCTCCGCTTTATGCCAGCTTTACAGTTTCCTCCATACGTTTGTGCTCTTACCACGGCTCCTCCTCCTGCCACTGCCTCTTCCGGTTACTACTGCTTCTCCTCCGTTGTCAGCTTCACAGTTTCCTCCTTCGGTATCTACCTTTGCCACAGCTCCTCCCCCTCCCCTTCCTCTGCCTGGCACTGGCGACTTCCTCCTCCGGCTCCTACTCGTCTCCGGGTCTCTTCTTCTCCTCCCTTGCGTAGACTTGCCTCCGCTTCAGGCCAGTTTTAAAGTTTCCTCCTTCGGTTTATACTCTTACCGCAGCTCCTCTCTCTCCTCTGCCTGGAATAGTTTTACTTCCTTCTCCGGCTTCCTTCTCGTCTCCTTGTATCTTCTTCTCCTCCCTAGACTGGATTTGCCTCCGCTTCATGCCGGCATTACAGTCTCTTTCGGAGCTCGTCCCACGGCAGCCTCATCGAAACTTATTTGCGGCTTGGGACGTCGCGGTTTCTTCTCGCCGAGCAGCCGGCTGTCGCTCTGCCGTCGCTTGCTGCGCAAAGTGGAGTTCTGAAGCATGGCCATCGCCTCCAGATCGCTGCCGCACGGCAATTGCAGCTCGATCTTGAGCCGAGTGCGGCTGATTTCCTCGCTGCCGCGACGATTCGAGCTGCGCGACAGAATGCTCGAGTTGGTGACAGCCGTAGCATTCGAGGAGTTCGTCTGGGTGCCCGTGCCCGTGGAGAGGGTGCCGCTGCGACCACGTGAGTCAGCTGGATTGGCTCGTCGGCGTCCCAGGGTGAGGAGCTTCAATAGGAAACGGGCGACGTCGTGGCAGAGACGAGCGAAGCCCTTGCGAAACTTGGTGGACATCAGATTGTAGAGTATGGGATTCATGGCCGAGTTGAGGTAGAGCATGATGCGGCAAAAGTAAAGCAGACTATAATAGCGCACCAGACCCATGTCGTGCAGCGTCTGCTCCGTGCTCAGGATAATCCACAGCGTGAGCACCCGAAACGGCAGCAGGCAGACAAAAAATGAGAGCACAACGGCGCCCAGCATGAGGACGACCTGTTTGCGCGCCTTCAGACTCAGCTCCGGCTTGGTGGGGCGTGCGCGCAGCATGGCGCCCTGATTGGAGACCAGGTTCCGGGCAATGATGCCATACAGCACCACCAGCATGAGAAATGGCAGTACGAAGAACACGGATATGGTCATCAGAAAGAAACCAACCGTCGACACGCCAATCGCTTGGGTCAGGCAAACTGGCACCGAGGATCCATCGATATACTCGACCAGCTTGTACTCAGCCACCCACAGTATGGGGCTATAAGAGAGAGAGAGAGAGAGAGAGTTGGGGAGAAAGAGAGAGAAAGGCACATGGTGAGGGTGTATCTGAAACAGTCTAAGGTTATATACGAGCGTAGAGAGAGATGGAGAGAGAGAGAGAGAGAGAGAAATATTTAGATGGAGATGGAGACAGAGACAGGGATAGGGACAGAGACACATTCAACTAGCTTGTACTCAACCACCCACAGTATGGGGCTATACGAGAGAGAGAGAGAGGAGAGAGAGAGAGAAAGAGAAAGAGAGAGAGAAAGAGAAAGAGAGAGAGAGAGAGAGAGAGAGAAAGCAAACATAATCACGTTGAAGGGCGTGTCTGAGTCTAAGGTAATATACGAACGTAGAAAGAGAGAGAGAGAGTGAGATATAGAGAGAGATGGAGACAGAGACAGAGACAGGGACAGAGACAGGGAAAAATACTTTATAGATCAGGCCAACAGGCTGGGCATGTGTCTGAATTATGTGCTAACGCCTCTCCCCGCGTCAATTATGGGCGTAAGCGTGTGCTCTCTGACAGCTTCTTGGGTTTGCCTAATTAATGGGCAAAAATGGGCACAAGCTGCCACGCCCACACGCTGTGCATGGGATTTGTGAAATGAAATGAAAAAAGGGACGCCAAAGTGTCAATGGAATGAATGTAAATGTAAATTCTCGAATGATAGTCCGCATTTGCCGCTTATTAAAGATGACAGCGCGCCGATAATGACAGCTGGACAGGAGCACAATGGACAGAGCCAGAAAAGTTGAGGCAGGCTGGACGACCCAAAAAAAAAACAAAAATACATCCCAAACACCACAATGATAACAAGAACAAGAAGAAGAAGAATCAGAAGCAGAAGCAACCGAAACCAGGCTCAGATGAATGTGTGGAAATGGAGGTCGGAATGGCCCATGTTTAGCATGTAAATGGAGAAGTCGATGTCAAACAAAGGCCAGAAGCAAACACCAAAAGGAAGAAGAGTTCGGCTAGCCGAACATTTGATGCCCTTGCAGACTCGGATTTGTCAGATATTATTAATATAAAAATTATTATTATTATAAGTATTATTAATATTATTGCATTATTTACTATTTATTTTTAAAAGAAATCCTTATGATTTGCAAATTTCGCTAGATTTCTATTTCGAGATATGATTCTTAATAACTTGATGGGATTTTAAAAGTTCGGTTTCTAGACACTCTAAGGGAAATCTCTTAGATTTTGGGAAATCTTCACCACAAAATCAATTTTTTTTCTTTAATTTTTGGAACTCTTGCCTTATTCTTATTGTTTTATATATATAGGTAGACACTCGTTTTCGTCGACCATCAATAAATGAATAAAGAAATAAAAAATTGATTCCCCGCAAAATTTAGAAAACTCTCTTAGAGAGGTAGAGCTTTACGTTTTGGTATTTAGACAAAGTTTTTTCAATTGATATCGTAAAATATATATATATATTAGGAATACATTTTAAAGAATTAATATTATACAAAATTTGGAGAGTTTGCTTTCAATGTGTTACATAATTAGCGACAAATTCGTAAGGCTCGCTGCAAGGACATAATAGCGACAAAGGAAACTGTGCAAATGGGCAAATGGAAAACAAAAAATACAAAATACGATTGACATCTTATAATTAATGAGTAAAAGGAACCCAATACAGAACAGAAATGGGCAAAATGGAATTAGACAAAGTACAGTAAATAGATATAGAATATATATTTATAGATGAACAGATCTAGAATGGAAAGCGAGAAATACCATAACCAGAAGCATGCGTAAGATATAGATAAAAGTAACTACTAGATAAAGCGAATATTCGAATTTAATATGCGAGTGCTTAAAGCATAAAGAAGCAGAGTGTGAGGCGGGCGAGTTCATTGCCCAAACAAAGAAAGAGAACGAGAGAGTGTGAGAGAAAGCGAGAGAGAGAGAGAGAGAGATAGAGAGGGAGACTTACCTCGTAAAGAGCGCCGCAATGCCCCAGGCCAGGACACAGATGAGAATGGCGCGCGCCTTGGTGCACACGTAGCCGGCTTTCAGGGGCTCACAGATGGCATAGTAGCGCTCGAAGGAGATGGCCAATATGGTCAGGACGCTGGCATGGGCCACGGTCAGCTCCACAAATGGTACAGCCTTGCCTGCGTGCGAGTACAAGCAAAATAGTTAATACGGTTAACAGCTGGCCGAGTATTGGCACCTACACATCTCGTGGCCCAGCACCCACGTCTCGGGGCGTGTGTTCACCTCGACAAGGACCGTGGGCGTGCAGACGAGCAGCACCAGCAAATCGGCAATGCTCAGATTGGTTAGGAAAATGTTTGTGGAATTGCGCATATCTTTTGTCTTCACTATAACGATGGGCACCTGCAAGGTAAGTGGAGAATATTAGTTGGCTTTGTTTGATCTGGGAAAACCAATATAAAGCGGATTGGCTACACTTTTTCACGCGTTTTCCGAACCTAATTGTGAATTATCCAAACAAAAAAAATGTACTACAGGCGATTTCCAGTAACTGTCTACCCTAGCAATAGGAATTTTCCAAAAACGGTGAAGAATATAGCTCGCTAGCTCTTATAGTTTGCACGTTCAATCAGTCAATCAGTTGGTCAATCAAAAAACAAACAGTAAAGAGTCAGTAAAAATACACGTCAATAATTTATTTTGCCAAAGATCGTTGAAAATGATATTAAAATTGCTCGAATGGAAGAAAATATAATATTTTGAACACATCTTCAATAAGTCAATCAGTAGGTCAATCAAAACAAGAAGTAAAGAGTCAGTCGAAAAACATACCAATAAATAATTTTTCCAAAAGAACTGTGAAATTGAGTTTGACGCTGGTCGAATGGAAGCAAATGTAAAACCCTACATGCATCTTCAATCAGTCAATCAAACCCAACAATTTGAGTGGCTCGAACAATCTTCTTCATTATCATAATACATCTCCAATCCGTCAAGCAGTTAGTCAATCAAACTACAGTACAAATATCTTTGAATACGAGTTTGATTGAAAGAAGTTGAATGATTTAAATTCAACTTCAATCAGTCAATCGTTCAGTCGGTCAATCAAATTAGAATACTCACCATCACATTGCCAATGACGCCCAGCAGCATGATGATTATGCAGAAGAACATGGCGGTTGTGCGTATATACGACGGAATCTGTGGCAGCATCTGCTCAGCATCCCCATCGGCGAGCGGATCGGTCGAGTTGGTGTTGGAATTGCTGTCGCTGTTGTTGTTGCTGATGATGTTGTTGTTGTTGTTGTTGTAGGCTGGAATACTATTAGTTGTGTTGTATGCGCCATGGTCGCCACGAGCAGCGCCACGGGATAGCTCAGCGTGCTGCGTCGTCGACCCTGTTGCAGCAGCAGCATCTTGAGGTGCGGTTGTTGTTGTTGTTGGGAGCAGCAGCAGGAGGAGGAGCAGGAGCAGTAGGCCCGGCCTGTTGCTGTTCGGTGTCAGCCGGGGCTGCTGCCCGCGCCTGGCCACAGCTTGCGAGGTGCCGGCGACGAGGCCGAGGCAGCCGCTCAACAATGTCGTCGTCCTGCGTGGAATCCTTTATATTCGCCACATTTGGCACATTGTCGTTGAGGCTAAGTTGAGGGTCGTCCTGCTGTTTGATTTGGCCTGCTCCGGGCCCTAATGAAATTAAGAGTTGCCCGTAGGCCGGCCTGACTATTTACGATGTCGCTAACAGCGCCCGTTCCGGTTCCAGCTCTCCGCCTCCGGCCTGTTGCCCCGCGGCGACATTAAACAAATCAATCAGTGTGGTGGGGAGCGGGGTTGGGTGGGCCTTGTGGTCGTCCTTGTCGCCAGCAGCAGGCCAATTGGATTATGTCCTGGGATCTGAAGTGTAGCAGCAAAAGTGTCTGGGATTAGCATTTAAGTAGCGGCCACCTCCGGCTCGCCGGACACGCTCGAGCAGCGACTCCCTGGCTAACGATAATGAGTGGAGCGTTCATTAGGCCCTGTCATTTACATAACATTAAAACATCCGACCAATGCGATTAACACAACCATTCCCCGTCGTCAGGCTAACATAAACATACTCCCGCAATCCCGATGTCAGTCGCCGGCGGGATTTTAATTACCTGCAGGGTTGTCAGCTCTCTCCGATTAAGATTTGAAATTATTGCAAAAGCTTTTGGAAATTTTTGGAAATTTCCTGTATATACCCCGCTTTTATTGTACATAACTATATTTAATTAAGTTTGTTTTTGTTGTGGTTTTAATCGTATTAGGTAAATTTATATATTAATTATTATTATTATTATATTATTAAAAGGTTGGGAAATTTTGACCTGTATGGGATATTTTTACATGAATTTCGACCCAGAATAATGTTTTTGATTTAGCTGCCAAATTTATCCATCGGCCAAAGCATGAACAAAGAGGCAACCCCTATGATAATCGGATGAGATTTAACCAAATTATAGGAATGGGAAATTTTGACCTTTCTCTATATAGGATATTTAAGGGTATTATTTTCACTTGAATTTTGAACAAGAATAATGTTGCTAGACAAACAAAAATCAAAACCTTATGAAAAGCGGTTAAGTTTTGGCGGACTATTTGGGGGGAGGGAAATTTTGATCTATGTCTATTAAGGATATTTGAGGGTACAACGTTTATATGAATTTTGACCAAGAATAATGTTGACAGATTTAAACGCCAAATTGGTTAAAGGGTTAAGTCATTCACAAGCACCCAATCCAAATTAAAATTGGTTAAGTTTTGACCGAGTTATGGGAATAGGAAATTTCAATCTATGTCTTTTTGGGATATTTGATCTATATATATATATATATATATATTTTTTTTTTTGTCAGATTTAGATGATAAATTGATCCAGAAACCAAACCACAAACAAAAAGAAACATTTAAAAAATTACTCAAAAACGTAGATCGAACTATATTTCTAGTAATTCGACTGGGTGACAACCCTGACCGCAATCTCTAGTGTTGGCTAACTGGCGATTATCACTTGAGGCTGCCCCATCAGCCAAATGGCTTTATTAAATCTCCATTTTTGCGCAATTCCCTCTGATGCTTAATTGTATTACACACGCAAACAAACACACACACACACACACACACACAGGGATGGAGAGGCGGACAGTAACAAGAACTTCCGCTCTTTGCAGCGCCATTTTGATTAATTTGATAAATTCATTATGTGCACACCATATTGGTTATGTTCAGCTGCTGCTGCTGCTCCTGTTCCCATTTGTGGCCCGGCTCCTGTCGCTATGTCCTTTGTCTTGGGCTTGTTGTCCTGTCATGTGATGTCCGGAGTTTGGGTTCAATGTACCCAAATGACATAACAAGGCAGTTTGTGTCACATTTGGCTTAAAAATGCGACTTTAACGATGTTGACAATGGCCAGAATGAGTCAGTGCAGGCCAATAAAGCCAAATTGGCCAAGGGACCAGTGTCTAGTGGCCATTTGGCCATTCCATTTTCAGCATAATTGTTTTTTTACAAAAACTTTGTCGAGTAGAAAGACAAATGAAGCGCTCACAAGTTCAACAAGGTTGTTCAAATTGATGGAACTGTTGAGTTTGGGCTATCAATATGGAAAATCATAAATGCTGCAAAACAAACTCTCGCCTTTTGCTCCGATTCGATTACAGTTTGAATTTCATGGAGAGCAGCCACGGAGCTACCTCGTGGGAGAGAGGGCGAAGACTTTTATCTACTAGTCTAAATTCTTTTGCTTTATTAATAACTTATTTCGTTATAATAATAATATTGTAATTTAAGCTAAGCTAAACTAGAATAAAGGCTGGCTACAAGAGAGAAATATTTGAAATAAATGTTGATAATATTAACAAACGTTTCGTGTTTCCGGGTTTTAGTTGCTTTAGTTCCGGACACGCGCCCATTCCGGGTGGCAACAACTGCGACCACATGAACATGAGGTCGGGAGGGCACGCATGTAAATCTCGAACGGTTTATGGTTACGACCAAATCCCAACTGCTTACAAGGCGGAGCGTGTTGATGTCGAGTGTGATGGATAACTTGTGGCCTGCCTAAAACAGGCTAGAAGGGGGTGGGGTCACACACACGCACACACACACACACACACACACACACTCACACTAAAGCACACTTTGGCATGTTTATATGGCAAGTATTTGGTATAATTTAGCTGAGATTTGAATAAGGTTCAAAGCTGATGATAATGGAAATTGAGCGCTTTGGACTTCTTGTGGATATAAATATATATACTATATATATATAGTATATGCTAAAATGCGAATATGTCGTGCATGTGTGCGTGTGTGCATGTGTGTGAGTGTAACGCTTTTTATGGTATTTAAGATTGAAGGCAATTTATGGCTGACACCCTAATAAAATTAACATTGAAATGGCAATTTGAGGCGGCAATAAGCATCAGCAGCAGCCACAACCAACTGAGGAAAGAAAGTTGTCACACACACCCACACACACACGCACACATTGCACATTACGATATATATTTACTAGACACATACGCATATCTAATCAATTTATCGCTCAATAATGGTTCCAGTTAGTGGGCTTGCCAGCTACTTTGACAAATCGCAGAACTGTCTAAAAAAAGGAAGATAGAAAGAAGGGAAATTATTGAATTGCCGTAGATTAAATACCCTCGTAGATAAATAACAGATAAGACATTCACTTTTAATCGATTGCTCTCGCATTATCAGTATGATATGGTTTATATTAAAGCTTGCTCGGTAGAGATGCGATTCAACGATTTTTGGGCGAAGTTTTAATTTTGCTTATATGCAAACATGCATGCATGCGTATGTCCATGTATGCCTGTTTGTACATACATGTACGCATGTTTCTTTTGTGTATATGCAAACATGCATGCATGCGTATGTACATGTATGCCTGTTTGTACATACATGTGCGCATGTTTGTTTTGTGTATATGCAAACATGCATGCATGCGTACATGTAGGAATACATGTCCGAATACCTATGCAATTGCACACACATATATATGTACATACATGCGTACATACTTATATACATATGCACATGGATACATGTATGCATACTTACATACATGCATATATACATGCATACATGCATACATACGTACATGTATTCATACATACATACATACATGCATACATGTATGCATACTCACATACATACTTACATACATACATACATACAAACAAACATACATACATGCATACATACATACATGCATACATGTATACATATATACATGTATGCATACATACATACATACATACTTACATACATACATACATATGCACTCGTACGTACATACATATAAACATAACATATAAACAAAAAACAAAAACCAAAAAAAAAAAACCATTACACTACTAGCCTAGCATGAAAAACTGCCGAGCCTACATGAATTCTTGAGAATCGAGGAGAAGAGCACTTGGTAGAAAATTGGTTTTATTTAAATTTGCACAATCGCGTAAAATAAGCTGAGGCTGCGTTTGGATATGGATACATACATTCATGCATACACTAACACACACATACTCACGCACATACATACACACATATATAATGCTTACATATATATGATCCATACAAAATACAGTTTAGTAGAGCTTAAGCCAGGCCTTAACTGTTGGATATTTTATCAAAATATCTTTCAAACTGGAATGCTCAACAAATGTATATATCGTGACAAAAGTCTAATACCCTCTGGAAGGGTATAAAATGCAAAAAGTTAAATAAAGACAATAAAAAGAAATGTAATAATTCTAAATTACAGTCAGATCTTAAGTGCTTATTAAAGCTTCGCCTTTAATGAGTCGATGCCCACACCATTTCCAGCTCGAGCTGCTCTTGCTCCTGCTCCATCGCCAGCTCCAGCTCCGGCTCTTGGTTAATTCCCTTATTCCTATTCGATTCTGGCACCCTCGACGTTGAGGCTTTATTTTATTTTATTTTTTGTGGTTGTGGTTGTTGTTGTTGCTTGGGGTGCCATACGCTAAATAAATTGAAATGACTTCGTAATTGTATTTGTGACTCGGGCTAAATTAATCTAACTAGTTCGCATGCCAGGACAGCGCTCGTGTGGAACCAACAACAACAACAACAACAGGAAAAGGAAAAGGACAAAGCGCCGTAAAACCAAAAGCTTGTTTTTCAATTGTAGCCACCGAGTGGTTACGGTGGTGCCTCTTGTGGCTCCTGGCTGATGGCATAGAAAATTGCTTTTACAAGTAAGTGTGCTCTAGTCGGGTTTACCCGGCTAGCAGATACTCTGAACCCAACAGCGAGCTGTACGAGCTTTCTTTTTTTCTTCCCTTTGTAGCACACTGTAGGGAATATATTCTTGAACAGAATTCCAAGTTTTATGTTTTTAATGGTCAAAGTTTTCGAGTTATAGGCTAATTTCACAGTCAACATTTCTTTCATTTTTTGCTAATGTCAAAAATGTGACCACATTCTTAACATTTTCTACAAATGTTGGTATTCGCCCCGAATAATTCGTGTACTTTTGCGATGATTTTCTAGCGATTTTGCCATTCACATGTTGCCGACAACGGACAC